GGAAGTGTACAAAAGCAGATGTTACCTACCCTAGTTATCAAAGTTCACCGTTGGCAAGAAGGAGGCTGGTGGTTTTTGAGGAGAACAATATCCATTTCCTTTTTGTAAAAAAAATGCTGAGGTTTGCACAAGGGCGATATTTACATGAATTATACAAGACTTGTGCAAGAGTGAGAGGTCTTGCATAAGACATCTGTATTATTTTTTTTAAAAAAAGACTGATCTTGTACAATCACAGTCTCTGAGGTAATCCCTCACATGTGCTTGAGGTAACAGTTGTTGAAATTTGGATGTGGCTTCAACATGCTGCAGTCAATGTAGATTGACACATGTATACCATTTGGGCCACTGGAAACAAAGTGTATTGCGCTCAGAATCAAACCGAGGAGCAAACAGAAGTAAGGGTTTGAGAGACAAACTGCCCCCCCCCAAGATATGTGTTAATGAGCTCCCACGCCAGTGGTATCTTTGGATGTATAACAGCTTATTTTTACTTATTGGATTTTCTGCATTAAAGGGAAACAGAGATTAAATGCAAACAAAGTGCATGCTAGCAATTTGATGATGACATTGTTGTGGTTGCTGTGAAAAACATTTGTGCATGAGCGGCACTGATTCCACAATATATTCCTATCTGGAAGCACCCCTGGTAAGGATGGAGCAGGGTTTGACGCGCACACAAAGTGGTTAAAAGGAACCAGGCATATTTAGCTTAAAGAGAAAAGAAAACGAAGCAGGGATAGGACGGCAGTTTTCAAGAATCTGAAAAGCAGGTTGTGTAGCTTTGCATGCCAAGAACGACTAAATCATGTGCCAAGGAAAACTAAGCTAGAAAGCGCATGCTGCATATTAAAGCTCAATTAAACAAAATGTAGGACATTTCCCCTCACTGATCATTCTTAGCACAGCCTTTGAAAAAAAAAAAAGAGTCAACAAAAAGACGACTGTCATGAAGAGGGTATGTTTGCTACAGCACTGAATAGAGATAGAAAGTCCATTAAAGTGACAGGGGCATTGTGAAGCAGGTTGGGGGAGGGCAAGCAAGAGGTATTTTGAGCCAGGCCCTAGATTTTCTGCTGCTTTCCTTCTCTTTTTAAAACATTAAAAAACCCCAAAAATTTACTGACAGGGGATCTGGGCTCAGAGTGCTGTTGAGACCCCAGCAATGTCTGTGATGACTGACCTTGTTGCCCCTCAAACAGAAGACAAAGTTCACCACCTGCATACTGTGGCCTGGCCAGGAGCCAAATAGATTCATGTGACTTGCAGGCCTGGTCTATGCACAGCTTTTATAAAAGTAGACAAACTTGTCTTTTTTTCTTTTTCTTTTTTGAGAGAGGGGAAAACCTGTTTTTGAAAACAGCAAATAAAGAGAGCAATGGTTTCTCAGGGTCACAGACAGAACAAGGATCAGCCGGTCCAACTGACAAGAAAGTAGATCATTAGGCTGCAAGTTGGGTCACACTCACTTGGAAAGAGGTCCCATGGAACTGGGTGAGACTCTGAGGAAACATGCATAGGCGCAGGCCTTGAAAACTGGGACGGCTGAAGTCTGGGGAGGCCCATTATTGAATACATTTGGAGCAGATAACTCTTGAAAGTATAGATCCTTGGTATTTAAGACAAGAGGTGCCAGAGTCTTCCGAGCAATTCTCTGTAACATGCCATGTAACATCCCTCTGCAAAAAAACTCCCCAGCCTCCTAGGAACTAGCAAAAGCAGTCACTTCATGTGAAGAACTTTGGATAGGCCTTCAGCCTTCAACTGATGTGCTGAGATCTGCTACTGGGCTGCAGTCTGGTGGGGAAAGGCTGTAGCTCAACGGCAGACCATCTGCTTTGCCTGCATGCAGAAGGTCTCAAATTCAATCTCCAGGGAGAGCTGGGAGAATCCTGTCTGAAACCCAAGAGAACCCCCAGGAGTGTAGATATTACAGTACTGAGCTAGGCAGGCCAATGGTCTGACTCAGTGCAAGACAGCTTGCTGTGTTTCTCAGTACCAAAGTAATCAACATCACCATGGGGGGACGGGACCATACAATATGTATGTTGTGGTTAAAGCTGGACTGAAGACTGCTGAAGGAAGCCCACCAGAATGCAGAACTGAGGAAACCACTGGGCAGCTTAGGATTTTCACGAGGCATCCTCACTAATAAAATATTCCAGGCGTGTGCACTTGAAGGGTGTCCAACTCCTGTTTTGCACTGTGCCTTTCAGCCATGAGCCATAAATAAGGCCAAGGAAAATCACTCTGCCTGTGACACTGAGCAGCTCAGATGGTCCATGTAGGATAGCTATGTGGTCCTACTTAACAAAGGACTGTCCTCTATTTGAAAGGGTGCCTGATCCAAGTCTGGTGTAAAGATACACAAACCATGTGGGGATCCTGAAGTTGCCAATCAACAATTAGCTCCTGAGTAGCAGAAACAAGGCCACCTGGTCAGTCATCTGTATTTATATTTGAATTATAGTAATTATTTATAAATCTGCCTTCTCTATTTATATTTATGCAAATATTTTCCTTTTATTACTGATGCATTTTCACTTTTCTGGAGAGGTACAAGTGGCCACCCTAGTAGGTTGGCTGCATACAGCAGAGAACAGAATTCCCACACCTTAATAACCATTGTGCAGGAGAGGGGATTTAAGCAGGAGTCGCTGGCATGACAAACTACATTTGCTGAAATTCCCTCTCCTACCCACTATAAAAGGAGCAGGGGGCCTGCCTTCTGCATTTAGCCACCTTAGGGTACAACTACATTAAGTGGGCTCACAAGTTACTGAAATTATCTTGTCCTCAGGGAAGGCATTTTATTTGATCTCCCACACTCAAATTCTTTGACCAGCTTAAGCGAGCTTTGGCAAAGTTTGCCTCCTATCAGCTGTGTGGAGGAACTGCCCGTGAAATGTGGCACCCAATTGCAGTAGGAGTTTCAGGTAGGAATCCCATTCTGGTTGCCTTCACAGTTGTTTGATTAGGAAATCAGCCCTGAGTGCTCACTGGAAGGACAGATCCTGAAGCTGAGGCTCCAATACTTTGGCCACCTCATGAGAAGACTCGACTCCCTGGAAAAGACCCTGATGTTGGGAAAGATGGAGGGCACAAGGAGAAGGGGACGACAGAGGATGAGATGGTTGGATGGTGTTCTCGAAGCTTCCAGCATGAGTTTGACCAAACTGCGGGAGGCAGTGGAAGACAGAAGTGCCTGGCGTGCTCTGGTCCATGGGGTCACGAAGAGTCAAACACGACTAAACAACTAAACAACAACAATTGTGGAGGAACAGAAGAGGGAACACAAGGGGATATAGAATATATAGATCTTAAGGTACTTGGAGAAGGGTGGGAGGAATGGGGTGCAAGGAAAGCTAACACATAAACTTCCCGTTACAGATAGGTAGCCGTGTTGGTCTGCCATAGTCAAAACAAAAAAAATTCCTTCCAGTAGCACCTTAAAGACCAACTAAGTTAGTTCTTGGTATGAGCTTTCGTGTGCATGCACACTTCTTCAGATACCTTTGGTTTTGACATAAACTTCCCATTCAACCTGCTGAGTACTGGACCATGCTGGCTGTATGCACAAATGGTTGGGCTTGTTTTTCTCTTAAGTTCTGGTATCTCAAGAGTTGGTTATGCAAAGTATTCCTGTTCATGCCCAGGACACTCTAACAGCTACATCTTTCTATCTTCATATACTTGTGATCCCCGTGTTCTCCAGGCACAGAGTGCCATCTGGTGGTCCAAGCAATGCTTGCCTGCTTGGCATACAATTTCTTCTAGCCCGGTCAATTCAGCGGTCTCTGTGCGGAAAAAGTTTGCTTGACAAAAAAGCATAAGAGGAAGTTATACCTTTCAATATGACCCAGTTCCATTCCTTGGTAAGAGTAAAATTAGAACAAAATACCATCACAGGTTGATGGCGAGACTTTGCTCTGTCTGAATCCATCTCAATTTACAGACAGGGTCATGCTACAGCTACACCATCTATTACAAACCAGCCCCATTCTGCAAAACAGCTCTGCTCAGCTGAAAAGATACAAAGTATCTGCTTATCTGTAAATCACACTGCAGGATTTGTCAATTGCTTGCAGATACTTTCAATCAGTCCCTTTCCCCTCAATGAAAGCTTTGTCTGTTGACAGGAGAGACTGAACATGGGAATACCTGCATCACTGGGCAATTACCCTTTCCCCAATTTGCAAACTTAAAATTGAAAGGTTACAAAATGCAGATCAAAAACTCAAAACTCAAAAGACTGTAACAGTACAAGAAAACATTATAGGTGTCAAAAAGACCATAATGCACATGGTAGGCAAATCCCTCGGAGGACACTTCATAATCAGGGCATCACCACTGAAAAGGCTCTCTCTGGCCATCATCTGTCTTGCCTCATTAGGTGGGGAAACCTGGAGAAAGGGTTCTCTGATGACCCTAAGGACTAGGCACATAGAGCTACAGAAGACAGTCCTTCAGGTAACCTGGCCCAAATCCATTTGGGGCTTTAAAGGTTAATGACAGCACTTTAATTGGGCTTGGAAACTAACTGAGCTGCTTCATATGTAACACTAAGTCGAACTATGGCTGGCCATGAGGATTTCTGGGGAGATGGCAGCTGCTGCTCTGTCCTGCTGCTGTGAGCTAAGTGATGGTTTGGGGCTCAGCAGGTCATTCAAACATGCTGCTGTGAATTAAGCCATGGTTTAGGTCAGTGGGTTGTTAAAATGTGGCCTCATGGTTTGTCTTGCCCCAGACCAACCGCAAGCTGTTAATCTAAGGTTGATCTCAGTTTAGTAGCTCGTGGTTTGTTTGAAGAAGAGAGACTATGTGCTTGGGCTTGGACAACACACTAAGCCAAATCAGAACTCAGAACAGTGTAGCAGCAGCAGCAGGAGTGTAGCAGCCACAATTTCCTCTCCAGGAACTCTCACATCCCCACTTACATGTTGAAGAGAATTGTTGCTTCCACAATGAATGACTTTCAGCACCCACCTATACAACATTCATTCTCTTTTTTTTAAATTAATTTTTATTGAGTTTTCCATATTTATCATAATCACATTTTGTTACATACAACAATAACCTTAAACATTGCTCAAATGAGCACAGACTTCCTTCCCTCCCTCCTTCTGACTTCCGAACATCTTTACTAAATTCTTAGCATCTCTATAACCCCCTTTTCCTTCCAGAGGAAGGAAACTCCGGTGCTTTTTGCAGCGAAGCTATGGCAGCATCAGAAGCAAGCACACAGCTTGGGATTGATGACACCCTAGTGGGAATACAGCTGGGTACACTTGGAGGGGGGGGGGAAAGAAGAGTGAAGCAGAAACTTCAGTTTTAAAAGGCACAGAGAGAAAATTGCAGAGAGAAACTCAGATTTCAAAAACATCCGGGCTCACACCGCTTCCAAGCATTGCATTGCCGGCCTTTACACACTCAGCCAGCTGAGGCCCTGCAGACAAACAAATAAGCAGAGTTAGCTAGGATTTATCAGTGCCACTCACCTCACTGCAGCCTGTGCACAAGTAGCTTTCAAACAGGCCTGTTCTTTTTTCTCCATTCTATGCCCGCCCCATGATGGAAAAATGGGGACATATCCACCTCTGAGTTGGAGATGAAGAGTGTGTGCCTTCTGCATTAGCATTTGTTTGGAGAAAATCTCTATGGCGGGAGCTAGGGAGTAGCAAGCTATGCTGCCCAGACTGGAGCTCTAGTGGTGGGGCAAGATTTTTTCTTTTTAGTGTGGATGCTAAATTCACAAGAAAGAGGATCGGGCTGGACCCAAGTAGGGATCAAATAAAAGTTTAAATGAAGCATTGTTTGGACTGGGGAACAGAAGTGCTGTCTCATCTTCAAGCTTCAGCCTCTCCATCATTCTTCCTCACACCATCCTAAGCCCGCCCGCATCCAGCTGCCCACAACTCACCTGTGGTTGCATGGAGCCAGCTGAGAGCTTTAGCTTCCAGTAACTCCCACTCATCCTTCTGCTCCATGGCATTGATGTGGAGCCATAGGATGGCCAGCACTGTCGCCCACGCGTTCAGGGCCACCTGGTAGCAAGAATCAGGAGTCAAAAGAGAGAAACATTGGACCCTGGTCACTCACTGGTCCTGCACATGCATGGCAATGCTTAAGCAAAATAAAACCATGGTTGAGTGTGACATGTTGGAACTATGGTTACAATTTAGCGACAACCCAGGTTATGAAGCCATGGTTTGAAGCAGGTTTGAAAACCATTGTTTACCTTACTGCTCATTCAAACATCATTTCTATGGAGGAAGCCATAGTTAAGGTAGTTTCTCCAACCTTTCTGCTTATAAGATGAGAAATAAGCCTCTCCTGCATCTCATTCTACATGATCTCTATAGAGGGGCTTTTGCCTGGCAATCTAAACCCTATGGCTTCATATGTATGTATGCATGTATGTATGTATGTATGTATGGCAGAAAATTATGGTTAGTGCTACCACATCCCCTTGTTACGCGCCCCAAAATCATGGGTGGCCATTTATATCCACGGACATCCAGTCAGATTGCTGTTGCCACTCTGCTCCCAGTAGATGCCACTGGTTCTGCCACAAAACCTACCTGGGCAGGTGATTTGCTTGAGATCTCAGCCTCACTCAGGCCTAGGATGCTGGCCAGGTCAGAATCAAGTGGCCAGGAGCCATCAGCATTCTGCAGAGATACCAGGTTCAAGAAAGGAGATTCCTCTTTCTTGGGGGTGGGCTCAACGTCCTCTGCAAAAGAGCCATTAAAAATATGATCAACTTTAAGGCAGCTAGTGAGTCAGCTGAATGCAATCTCCCTTGAACAGCTGATACTGAGGAATAAAGAACAAGGGAGCTCCATTGCACTCGGTACCCAGTTTGAAAGTTTTGTGAAACTCTCTGGCTGGAAGCAGAATGCTGGACCTTTCATCTGACACAGAAGTGAACTTCATATATTCTAAGGGCTTGATGGGTTGACCACTTGGGCTTGCATGCTTGCTGGAAACAAGTACAGTTGCAGTATACTATGTTCTCATTATGTCCAGTTGGGAGGAGGTATTCTGTACCAGCTGAAGCTTCTCAGCTCCTGTACAAAAGGCAGCCCCACAGTGTGTAGAGAAGGCTTCAATCTCAAGGTTGCTGAGAAAAGCATGGATGGTACTTCCTTCATTGCACTGGCAGGACAAGTGCATTCCTTTCCATTAGTATACACAGGACAATAGCTGAGCCAATGGGCATATTGTTTCTGAGAGCTCATCCACACCTTGTTCTCCTTGCTGCTTTCCTCTGGGAAAACCCATGGTTTAGTACTGAATCAGAACAAATGGAAACTGAGTTTTCCATGGATTGCTGTTTGTTCCGATTTACCACTAGAGAGTGGGTTTTCCGGGGAAAAGTGGCAGAACTGTTGCCTTTGTAGGAAGCACAGGACAAGCAGAAAACTGCTCAGACTCATGTTTTCCAGGGACGGGGCAAGCAGGAGTGTGGATGAACACTGACTCTCCCTGGCAGAGAAGCCCTCGTCCTGCGTTTAAGGAAATTCACCAACACCAACACTTCTGATATGTGTTGCCACATATCCGGATTTTCCCGACTTTCAAGCGATTCCCATCCAGACACTGTCTATTACAGGGGTGGCCAACTCCCGAGGGACTGCAATCTACTTTCAGAATTAAAACCTGACAGTGATCTCTGGTCAAAGTTGTTGAGCTTTTTTTGGAAGTATGAGATAGCCCATTTTATAGGGCTTTTTTTTGGGGGGGGCAGGACTTTTAAGGGATTAGTTGCTCACCAAAACAATGCTATGAAAGCACTTTTCCATTACAGATATCAGGAGAAAATCCAGGCAGGGGAGAGGGGGCGGGGCTGGGTGCTCTTAGGCAAAAGCAAAGGGAAATAAGCCCGCGATCAACAGTCATCGACTGCAACCTCCCGGGGATCGACCTGTTGGACATCCCTGGTCATTAGTTTGACAGATGTTTCCAGTTTCCACTGTTTCCAGTATCTGCCCTGCATCCATTCCATGAGGACTGACCGCAAAGAGACTCCGAACATAAGGTGTCTTCAATCTCATTCATGCAATCAGCAGAGCAAGGGACGGGAGGAACTGGCATACTGCACATCATATACATAGGTCCTCCTCCTCCTACTAGTCTTCTGCTCATGCTGCTCATGCCAACTGAATTAATCACAGCAGGTCCACCAGGTGCTGAAAAGGGCAATAGATCTAGCAGGAAGAGAAAAGACATAGCTCATGTGATTTTTTTGGTTGCTACCTTCCAGGATATAGCAAGTTTATTTGTATCCTCCCAGTCCTCCAACAAGCTCAGGGTTTTCTAGACCTTGACAGCAACTGCAATGAAAGCCCACCTCTCTTACAATAAGTGTGCGGTGGGGACACTGGAAAAAGTTCCAAAAGAATAGTTCAGACTTCACAACAAAAGAGTTGTTGTCTATCTACTCCTATCTTTACACTGGCCTAGGAGCACACTCCTCCATCTCTTGAACATCTATATCTTACTATCTGCATTAAAATGTAAGGCTGTCACCATGCAGTCCCCATTAGAGGATTTGCAGTGCCTCATCACAATCCTGGATTTGCATGGAGTCAGGGTGGGGGTAGGGGAGCAAAGGAGAAGACAGGATAAGCAACACCAGTGGCTATTGCACAGGGGCGAGAAGGCATGAATACTAACAGGGGGAAAGTGGTTCTAAATAACAGAGGTTTGAGTAAAGGAGGGATGGAGAATAACTGAAAGGAAAAATGTTATTTTAAACAATGGCAGAGGTTTGAGTAGCATGAAGGGGAGTAAGCTGCAGTTTAAAACAAGGTTTGAGTACAGTGAGAAGGGGCAAGGGAAAGGCTCTGTTCTGTATAGCACCCATCTGTTATTTCTTCTTGTTAAAACTTAAAAAAAATAAAACCCTCAGTGCTCCTCCATCCCTACTTTACTCAAACATCTAAGGGAGGTATGAAGGGTGACCTTTTCAATGGCCTTTTCAATGGTGGCCCCCCTCATTTATTGAATGCTCTCCCCAGGGAGGCATAACTATCACTAGCTGTTTGTAGGTGCCAGAGAAAAACATTCTTATTCATTGAGGCCAACAGATCTTAATTTTAGTGAGGTGTGTGGTAGAGTTAGGTGTGAATTTTTAGCTGTATTGTTCTTGTTTTTAAAGTTGCTTTGAGTTTCATGTTTGGAGAAAACGAGCTGATAAATAATGATAATAACGATGATAATTTTGTGTGCAAAATGCTAAACAACTGATGATTTGAAAGGGAACTGATTTGAAACTGATCACAGTACAGTGGTACCTCGGGTTAAGAACTTAATTCGTTCTGGAGGTCCGTTCTTAACCTGAAACTATTCTTAACCTGAGGTACTACTTTAGCTAATGGGGCCTCCCGCTGCCGCCCTGCGATTTCTTTTCTCATCCTGAAGTACCTCTTAACCCGAGGTACTATTTCTGGGTTAGCAGAGTCTGTATCCTGAAGCGTCTGTAACCCGAGGTACCACTGTATTTGAAATGAGCTCCCTGAAAGCACAATCAAATCAGCTCCTGGTCATCTGGACAGGTTCTGCTAGATGGCACTAAATAGATGTGATGGCATTCAACCAAACTCTCCCTTAGTGATCAGGGCTCTCCCACAATACATCTCCTTGAACTTACACGGATGGGGAACGTCTCGGCGAGTGAGAGGCCCTTGAAGTGGCTTGCCCAGCTCTGTGTTAATTCCCACATAGGCGGTCTGTGAACACACCACCCCTGAACTCAGGCTCGTCTCCAGAGCCAGGCGTTGTTTTTCCTTTTCCTTCTCCCCGACCCCCTCCAGTTCCTGCAGGAGGGCCTGAGCTGCCAGACGGTGAACAGGGAGCCTGCAGAGAGGGAAAACAGGGAGCATGGAGAGAAATGCTGGGACCATTTGGCATGCTGTAAACCCCTTAATATATTCTATAATCCAGATTTGCCAATGGACAGGGAAGACTGGATTTGGATGGCTAACTCGCTTGTGAATCAGAGGACAGCATTCCACAAACTGGGGGCCACAGAAGAAAAGGTCTGTTCTCGTGTTGCCACCTTCTGGATCTCTCATGAAGGAGGCACATACAAAAAGGGTGCCAGAAGATAATCTCAGAGTCCAGGCCGGTTCATATGGAAAGCAGAGGTCCTTGAGGTATTGTGGTCCTGAGCTGTTTAAAGCTTTATAGGTCAAAATTTGCACCTTGAATTGGGCCTGGAAAGTAAATTGGTAGCCAGTGCAGGAAGACCAGAATCGGTGTAATATGTTCAAACCATCTTGCCCTGGTGAATTCTGCACTAGCTGATTTTTTAAACTGTGTATGTTTTAAAGAAGGGCTGTGAAATTTTCTTGGTTTTCTTGTTTTATCTTTTGTAAATTGCTTGGAGGGTTGCTGTTGTTTTTGTTTTTTACAATCAAGTAGTGTATAAATTAAATTAAGCAAGCAGACAAATAGTAAGATGAGAGCTTTCCAAGTCAGCCTGTAATTACACAAAGCACATCGTGTTTGTCAAAAGCTATGGGGTGGAGGGCAGAGGCAATATAATAGGAGAAGTCCTACCTGTCACTCTCCTGAGCCTGGAGTGAGAACTTCATTGTTTCTTTGAAAGTCTGGTCTTGGAACTGGTACTGAAGAACAACAGTCCCTTCTGTGGAGCCTGAAGACTGGAGCAGAAGAGAAAGCATCAAAACTGGGAAAGGGCAAGAAGCCTTCGGAACAATACCTTCTGACTTTAAAAACCACAAATAAAGTCAAGTTTTGGTATTCAGGATAGGAGAGAGGCATTATTCAGTAGTTAAGGTCCTGGTGGTCATTGCTTACCTGATGCTGCCCACGGATCTGGGCATAAATGAGGCAGCGCTGGCCCTGGAAGATGACCTGTGGGCCTGACCCCACAAGCTCAGCCTTCAGACCAGGAGGCAAGTCCCAGCTCAGAGAGATCCTGGTCACTGCTGGCTGCAGGGCCTTCTTCAAAGACTGCAGGGCCTACGGGAAAGCAAGAATTTTGCAATGACATTAAGAGAATATCAAAGTTCCTGTTCAACTATCGCTTAAAAATAAGTTTCTATGTGAGATTGTTTTGAAACTGTGTGAACAGTGCTTGCAAAGAAGTCAGGAGAGGGGCTGATGAAGATGCCATCTTGGTTTCTCCAAAAGCCACTGAACATAGAATAGAAGCCCACTGGACAGACTCTGAGCAACGCAATGACCCTGTCACATAGGGGACACTAAAAAAAGAATGGAATTGATAAGGAGACAAGAGATGCTATGAGAAACCAATGTCTTTATTCCAGCAGAAACTATGGCATTGAGATGGTGCGATGGACAGGAATTGGGTCTACTTGTGACCCAACCAGTGTGACCAGTGTCAGTTGGGGAGTAGATCAGCCAATTGGGAGAGAGAAAGAATGGAATTTAAGTTTGAAACTGACAGTTACTGTCAGGACTGTCAGAAATTGCTCAGGCAGGGATTGCCTATGGGTTAGATAGGGACCTGGGTTTAGAGATTAGGGGCTTTCTGTCTGGATGGGCAGAAGGGGTTTCTGGCTCTCTGAGCAGGCTCACCATAGGGCTTATCTGTTAGAGAGAACAGATTGCTTTCAGTAGCTTTCAGTTATACTTAAGAGACTGAACCTTCTCTGCCCACAGACAATCTATGTGATGGGCGGGGTATAAATAACAAAATTATTATTTTTGTTATTATGGATAGGGGAAAACAATGGCCATCCTAGAAATGATTACTCTGTCCAGTGACAGATTGAAAGAGTTAAGGCAGTTATTAACCATCTTTGAAACAAAGTATTGTACCTTGCAAAGGAAACCACTAAGCTACAACAACCCCTTTACATAGAAACCACTAGGCCCTTCTACACTCGCCATTTTGTGGGTAGATTCAACAGCATACTGGCAGATTCAGGTTGCACAATTGTGGTTGATTTGTGTAACAAACTCACTTCCTCCCTAAATGATTGGATTTCTTGCAATAAGGAAAACAACAGGAAAACGCACTGGAAAGCGTGAAGTAGCAATGGCTTGATGCAACGGGCATCCAACCTCCCCATTAACAAAGCAGAAGGAAGGTTCAACCAAAAAGGAATCTGGAGGCAACCTATGTTGCTTTTTCACAATGTGTTTTCTAAATGTCCCATAAAGAAACTCCAGCTGTAACTCTAGCTGGGCACTGCTAGCTGTGTAAGGTTTCAACATGCAGTCTAGGAGGAGAGTAGAAGGCTGAGCAAATGATCAATCCAAGGGTGCAGCCCTTATGACAACGCCTTATGAATCTGGGCTTCATGGATGCTTTGCAGAAGTAAGAAAATGTGCTATTTTGGTGAGGAGGGAGCTGGGATTCCATGCTCTGATGGCAGGGAGGGATCTAGCAGTGTCCCTGCCTGGTAAGGACAGGCAGAAGAGGAATGTGGAGCTCCTGAGCCTCACCTTGGCCTGCATGCGCTCCTTGCCTGTGATGAATTCAGCACTTCCTCCGGCCGCACGGGCAATTCCTTTGATGAGGGCTGTGGAGGCCCCTTCGCCAATGCCAAAGGAGAAGCACCTGTCAGAGAAAGAGGAGGTGAACCTAGGCCAGGTGCAGAGAGCTGCGAAAAGCTGGTTTCTCTCTCCCTTGCCTTACCTGTGGGAGCTGCTGTGACGTCGAACTTCAGCAATGACCTCATCTGTATTAAACACCTCTCCATCCGTGAACACAAAGAGCTAGAGAGAGAGAGGGAGGGAGGACAGAGAGGTATCAGAACCTATCCTATTCCCCTTTTGAAGTCCATTTTCAGGACCCGGCTGGATTCAAATCCTACATGTAAACAGGGAAAACCAGCCTCACTAACAGTGACCCCCTCCATAGTGCAGCTGACCCCAGTAGCGCACACCATCGGTGCCAATCAACTGCTTGCAATGAAACAATCAGGGGCTCCTGGTAGCTTCTATGTAGCTGCATCTTATATGATGTCAGATATGGGGCAGTTGGGCATGATATTGGGGGTGAAATGGCCTTGGGAGCCAAATTATGGCAATGCTGGGTGGAATGAGATGCGCCGGTTGAGGGTTCCTTCACCCCTGCCATAAAGGAAACTTCTGAGATCAGGCAAAAGAAATCTCATTTCAGTAACTCTATTCCCAGGCCAGCCCTGAATACAGGAGAACAATGCCAATAACTACAGGACTCAATACCTGGCGAGGATACCCTTCTCGGCATGGCTGGCTGTAAATGGCCTGCAGCGGCTGCAGAATCTCTGTACCCCCCAGATCGGCTTGCAGCTCCTTCACCCGTTGGAGGGACTTGGACATGGTCTCCTGGGTGTATTCTACACTCTGCCTGTAGAGAGTTTCAGAGAGTCAAGGAGGCAAAGGACCTATTTTCCTCCCAAGCTCAGCCAATTCCCCACCAGGCTTTTTTTTTTTAACCTCCCACAACACTCCACGTTTCCACCAGAACCAGCTGTTTAATTGCTCCCCTAAAACTCACCCACTCAGATGCATACCCTTCCTCTCATCAGTCAGTACTCAGACTGTGCTATGCCTCATCAAAGTTAGAGAAAAGCTATGTTTACTCTGCAGCTAGCACGGAGGAAGAGAAACAGCAGGACTTGGAAGGCACACATGGGGAGGAAGATTTGAGGCAGCCAGAGAGGACGACAGAATTTCTAGGGGTCCAGGATGTACTGCTTTGCATATGAAGTTTAGAAGGCAGCTTGCGAAAACATCCCTTCTGGTTGGGAGAATTTTTTTCAATTCCTTGGTTAAATCTTTTGGGGTGCACATGTGCACACACATTGACATCAAAGGTCAAGTAATGTATCTAACACCCTGTTTTATTCTTTACCAGTGGCCAAACATATAAACAGGTGGAGAAGTCGGAAAGTAAAAGGTCTGTGACAGTACACTCACGGGTAGAAGGAGTCATAGGTGGATCCAAAGCCATAGATGTTGAAGTAACATCCCAGAGGGAGACTCTTCAGCAGGAGAATCAGGGTCTCCTAAAATAAGGTAAAAGATGAAGCTACGTGGATATCCCAACCCACCCTTTGCAAAGGGCCGGACTAGATGACCCTCAGGGTCCCTGCCAACTCTCCAATTCTATTTTTTATATAATCTTTATTTATAGTTTTCAGTTATGTGTTTGTTTCTACAACTCATGAATTCCAAAACTTTAAACATTAAATCCCAGGAGACACTGTCAAATGCCAACTTTCTATAATTCTATAATTCTATAATTATAGGCCTTCCCACAAGGATCCACCCACCTCCAGGCTTCCATTACCCTGCCTTCTCCAAAGCACAGCACCGTCCCTCCCTATGCATCCAAACACGTGGGTACCTTGGCGCTCTGAATGCGCATAGGTGAATCAGGTGAATCAGAGCTATACTCGGTGTTGCACTCCATGCTGCCAGAGCGATCCAGCAGGAAGAGGAATTCTCCAGTTGCCTTCTGGCTTGGCTTTGGGGCAGGGACGCTGGGGTACAGAGTAAGCAGGAGAGCCGGGTCCCCCATCAGCGAGGCTGTGTTTCATTGGAAAACAGTAGATCCAATAGGTATTTGGCAATATCCCCTCTTTCTTTCTTTTTTTATATAATTTTTATTTGCATTTTTAATAAAGAAACAAAAAAACCACACATCCTACATCCCCTTCCCTCCACCCACCAATTATACAACTTTCATATCAATCACAACATACAACTAAATACCTAGTGACTCCCTCTTCTACCCTTTTCCTGGTTTATTTACTTTTCTACTAAATCATGTATTCCAAATTTTTAATCTTCAAATTTCTTTCTCTCTTAATTTCTATTAGCTCCTATTCTGCTGGATTTACTCAAAACCTGCTAGGTTATTTACTTATTTATACTGTTTCTTAAAATATTCAATAAACATTCTCCAATCCTCCTTATTTATCATCCTTTTATCATATCCTGTCTGTTATACCTGCAAATTCAGCATATTCAAGCAGTTTAATCTGCCACTCTTCCCTAGTGGGTACCGTACTCGTTCTCTACCTTTATGACAATAAGATTCTAGCCATAGTGGTGGCATATTGTAATAAATTCTTTTGTTTTTTAGGGACTTCTGTTGTTAATATTTTCAAGAGGAATGTCTCAGGCTTTTTAGGGAAGGGTTGTTTTTTTTAATGCCTTATTTAATTAATTGTAAATTACTTCCCAGAATTCCCTGATTACTTTACAGGACAACCACATGTGGAAAAAAGATCCCTCTACTTCATTGCATTTACAACATTTGCCTTTTTCATTTTTAAACATTTTTGCTAGTTTGGCAGGTGTTAAGTACCATCTATGGGTCATTTTTGTCATATTTTCTTTTAATGCTTAACACGCCGTACAGTTCATATTTACTGTCCATAAATTCTCCCATAGAACATAATTAATATTATGACTCACATCCAGTCCTTTCACCTCTCAGCACCCTTTTGAGTTTCTGCCCCCATGTCCTCTGTTGCCTTAGGCTTTGCTCACCTGGGGCAGCCCCAGGCTTCCCAGCCTCCAGGAGGGCGCTGGGCTTGTGAACATCCTCGTAATATATCAGCAGCTCCACATCTCTGTCAAATTGGTGCCCTTCAGCCAAGGAGACCTTTGGGGTGGCAAAAAGAAGCAGAGCTTTAATGCTGGGCAGAGTTTAAACCACCCACCTCTAAAGAGCTCCCACATATATTTATGTGTGCAACACATTTTAAAACATTGTTACCAATCGAGATCTTTAATTCTAAAATAGTGTGTCATGAGAGATCACTGAGGTTACAATAATCTATTAAAGAACAGATGGTGGAATAAGTATTGGGTAGAGAGAGCTGCCTGCTTTTACTCATGCAGGGAAAGCTCTAGTTTCCTTTACTTTCAAATCTTCCTCTCAATGTTGGTTTCAAAGAGACCATTCGGTGACTCCCACTACAGACAAAGTAAAAAAAAACCTTTCCCATCCTAAGGGGAATGCTGGGACTTGTTGTTTGTGGTGAGTTTGGCTCTTCAGGTCGACAGTGAAGGCCAGAAGCTAGGCTAAAGAGGAAGACCAGCTTGTGAGGAAGTGGGGAATACAGAAGGATGTCTTCCTTCAAGCTTGGGAGACAACATGGGAGTAGCAGACAAGGCAAAAGTGGCCAAGCCAACTTCTCTTTGTACATTAGGCACCAAAGCTAGAGATCTCATTATATATGTGCACGTATGTGTGCACAAAGATGTATCCATCACAAACCTAAGTAAGTAAGATTAAGTTTGTAAAGTAGAACTAGAAAAAAGTAATATATTAAGAATATTAAAGATGAAACACCAAAGACGCAATGTTAATAAGAACTCAAAGATTAAGGGATGATGAGTATTGGGGGAGGGAAGTCACATGGGTGTATTATTTGTTTTCTTTGTATCATTATTTTGTATTTTGCATTTTTGATTGATCAGTGTACTGTATATCTTTGGAATTACACACACACACAAAGATGTATCCATCACAGTTCAAGAGCACAGTTCAGCCAGGCAAAAGCACACAAAATGGGCACCAAACTGCAGTTCCCAGTTCGCTTTCAAAGCTTGAAACATGGGTTGCGGGGGAAGATGCCTGCAGCTTGTGTTCTTAAGCCACAGGAATGCTCTCAAGGATCAGGCCTTCTCTCCCCCTTTTATTTGCACTGTAAGGCTTGTGTTCCATTCCTTGGTTACACTACAGTGAAGTTTGCTTATGCATATAGCAAGTTAACCCCATGACACAGTAAGGGTGGGTGGGAATTTCTGCTTAAAGACAAGTGGCCAGACTTACTGAGCTAGCCTTGTCACATGACAACAAAAGAAAGGGCTACACTGATCCCACCATAGCATGGCCCACCTGATCCAGATCTCCTCATCCTGCCCTCAAGAGCACCATACCATGTTATGTATTTTCATGTTTTTATTCATTAAAATTCTATCCTACCCTTTCCCCCAAAAGGAGCTGAGGGCATGAAATGAAGCAACAATGCAATATTAGAAAAATAAAGAACACTTAAAAGCATTAACAGCATCTAAAACCAGTTATATATCCCCGTAGCAAGGGACCCTAAATGTTAATCGCAAGGAAGACGTGATGCACCTCACCAGAGAGGAAATTCCATAAATGGGGAACCACCACCCAAAACACTTTGTCATGGGTCAGGGCCCACCAGGCAGTACTCAGTGATGATGTCACCAACAGGGCCGACAGCAGCGCCTGAGGTAGTCCATATTGGGCAAGATGCTCTTTTAGGTACATGGGTCCTAAGCTGTGAAGAACTCTGTATGCTAATACTGACACTTTGAATTAGGCTTGGGGGCTCACTGGCAGTCAGTGACTCACACATTATTATTAAAAGGTGCACTTATAGTACATATATTCAGATTATAGGTTCATCATGAGCTCTTTCAGGATTCAAGGCCGCACCAGACATGGCATTATACACATTGTTTAAAAATAAAACCAGCCATGCAAGGCCAAAGAAAGAGCCAGTAATGTTGAAGGAAAGCCATATTCAGACAAACGAAAACAATACTGTTTCCTGCCAAATGGTGGTCTCAGTCAGAATTGCCCCCTGCTCACAGCTCCCACGTCACAAACTGCAAGGATGGGGAGCGAGATTCCAAACAGGGCTTGTAGTGGTGTGGCAAGGCCACCTGAAGAAGGTATAACAGGTATACCATTGTGCCTCATATGCTACCATGTCCCTTAATAATGCCTAATGTTAATGCTAAAAAGGTAAAGGTACCCCTGCCCATACGGGCCAGTCTTGACAGACTCTAGGGTTGTGCGCTCATCTCACTCTAGAGGCCGGGAGCCAGCGCTGTCCGCAGACACTTCTGGGTCACGTGGCCAGCATGACGAAGCTGCTCTGGCGAGCCAGAGCCACACACGCAAACGCCGTTTACCTTCCCGCTAGTAAGCGGTCCCTATTTATCTACTTGCACCCGAGGGTGCTTTCGAACTGCTAGGTTGGCAGGCGCTGGGACCGAGCAACGGGAGCGCACCCCGCTGCAGGGATTCGAACCGCCGACCATGCGATCGGCAAGTCCTAGGCGCTGAGGCTTTTACCCACAGCGCCACCCGCGTCCCTATGTTAATGCTAAGAGTGCCCAAATGCTAATAATCAAATGCTGTGTCTCTCTCTTGCTACTGTGCCTGCAGAAAGCAGAAAGCTGTGTTTGCAATCTGTAAAGAACATTCCTCGTGCTCATGTGATGGTCACCATGACCTAACAAAGCAGGATGTCCGAAGTTGGATACTTTCCATTTTATGCAGATGACTGATGACAAAAGGGGGGATTTTGGCTTTGCCTGCCAAAAGGGAATTTTTTAGCTTGCTTGCTGATAATAAGGTAGAAGCAATTAGTAATATCCTGAGTACATATATGGTAAAAGCAGAATGATCTTTAAATGGACATATGAGGATTTAGGAAGGGTTGTGTCCAAGCTCATTGGTTTGATTTTGCTGCAATTTATGAATATGTAATGTTCAATGCTGTTTGGAAAAAGGTATATAAACCCAAAGCCCCAGAGCTCCACACCCAGTCTTTGGAAACCATTCCGCTGGGTCTTATTGCTGCCAGCAATAAAACTTTACTTTCTTTTTCTCCATTGCTGTGTCTGTGATTTTTGAGCACACCTTGAAGTTTTCAGGTGTTCATTTAACCCTTCGCAACAGTGGTTGCAAGAGTCAAACGCTCCCTTTCACAAGCCATGGCCCCAATCCACCTTACCCTTCCCTTCCCTTCTTTTTGTTTACAAAAGAAAACCTGTCGTGCGAGGCTACGTATGTACAATGGCACATCTACGTCAGCCATTAGACCTAACCACAGATTTCTTGTACAGTTTCCAGTGGAGAATGAAAGGAAACAAATACACCCCTTTCAGAAGCTGTTCCATTCACTATCGTACCTGGGCAATCGTACGGTCTTCTGCCCTGTAGCGCAAGGGCTCAAGGGTGCATTTGGACTCCACACGGTTGATGCCATAAGGCGACTCCAGCATAGCACTGAGGCTGAGGGTGTAAGGAAGCGTCCCCTTGGGCACTCGGGGTATGCTCTTGGTGACATTGCCCCCTTCTGAACCTGCAGACGAGAGAACAAGAGTGTCATGGGTTATGGAACACAGTGGGCAAGCTCTCATGAGGAAAATGTTGCTAGTTAGTGTGTTTGGGGGTGCAGGTGATTACCTTGAGGTGCATAGCGGGGGTTGAGGACAGCGGGCAGGACAAAGCGGATGGCCCCATCGGGCTCTGGAGCCAAGGCCTGGACGTAGGAGAGCTTCAGCATGGCCTCCCCATCGGGAGGGAGGTTACCCAGGCTGCAGGTGAAAATGTCACTGGTGTTTTCTTCTCTTCCAAGCAGGAAAGCCTGCCGGCCTTCACTTAAGGCATCCTCATATTCCTGCTCTGCCTGCATTGGGTGGTGGAGAAGAGAACAGAATCAGGAGGGAGGAAGGCAAGGACACAGGCAGGTGTGGTCCCAAGAAAGGATTCCCATTTTAAAAACAGCTGTCGACCAATACCAGCGAAGCTTCCATGCTTTTGTAACTTTACCTTGTGAAAGTAAATTATAAGCACTGTGGTATCTACACTGTGACTTTAGAATTCATACATTAGGTTAAAATTACACCAAGTTGCAGCAGAAGAGGCCAGGAAGCCAGGCTCCTTACTACAGCAACTGGATGTTGTTAGGCACTCTTTCTTTTAAGCACAACATGTGAGCTTCTTGACACAAAATCTGCTTGTAGAAAGCCTATCTAGAAAGCCTCTGCCTCCCTTCTCAAACTGGCCACCCAATGCCAAAGGCCCCGATTCTCCTCAGACCTTCCATACCTGTTTCTTCTCTCGGATCTGAGCCTCAATCCGTGTCCCACCAATCAGGCCCTCAAAGGCATATACGGCGGCTTCATCATCCAGAGGGAAGACAAACACCACCTCCACTGGGGACTTCTCCTCATTGTGGTAGCGAAGCTCAGACACCACGTCAGCCACAAAGCCTCGGACCACCACATCCACAGAGATGCTCTTCAAGGGCACTGGGGCAAGGAGAGAACAAGGAAGGCTCAGTGTCTGGCCCTGTGTGCACGTTGGAGAAACCCTCTCCAGTCATCTTGGCTCCCACTGCCAGGCCAGCCAGTTATTTAGGATACCTGGACCTACATCATCACATACCCTATACTAGAAAGCTGTATATTGTCAATTTAGACTTCTGGCTGCTTTGCACCTGCTTAGCTGAATAACCAAATGCAGGTAACTTACCAGGTTCCTCAGACTTTGTGATAAGGCCACAGATATTCATGACTGATGACGATGATGATCTTTGTGGAAGAATTGGTTTCCCAACAATTCAGTGCAACTGTAGAAAACAAAGAATTTTTGGCTAAAGCGATGGAGAGTTCAAGTGAGCGAAGCTGACCCTCTATCAGAAAATTGCTGGGTGTAATTAGGAAAAAAGGATTAATAAGCAATGAAGATATGATAGAATACAGGCTGCCAAGGTTAAAGAGCGGGTGGGAGTTGAGTGTTTATCCCGAGGAACTAAAGACGGAAAGAGTTCAAGTGAGCGAAGTGGAGCCTCTTATTATTTCAATATGGCCATTTTTATACTGTACCAGCAGAAAATACCTGGCATTGCTCAAAAATTGTACGGGAACTTAAAACATTATAATGCTGTTGGATGAAAGAGAATGCTGTATACAATTCTGGGAAAAAATGGTAAAAATGTTTAGCCTTTAGTGGTACACAAATAAGCAAAGGCTTTCGTTGTGAATTCATTACTTGGGAATAAGAACTCTTGTTGGTTCTTGCAAACACTATCTCATTATCTGTCCTAACACTAATCTTGTTTCTCAAGACACTGGTCCTTCCTTATGTAGCCAAAATGGGACCCCCTGTGCTCAAAAGGGAGGTGTCAACAGACCCAAGGGAAGCTCAAGGTTTGCAGAAGTTCAGAACACCAGTACAGAACCCACGACACACACTGAAGTGAAACCAACCTCCAACAGCACTCAGGAAGGAAGAGATAATACAGCACAGACTTCCTTTCTCACGCTCTCTTAGACACTCACATGATGTATACAATCATAGTACCACTCGCTGGAGCAGCTCGGATAGATAAAAATCCTAACAGCTTCCAGGCCATGTGGCCAGCATGACTAAGCCACTTCTGGCAAATCACATCAGTGCACCGAAACGCCGGAGCGGTACCTATTAATCTACTTGCACTTTGACATGCTTTTGAACTGCTAGGTTGGCAGGAGCTGGGACCGAGCAACGGAAGCTCACCTCACTGCGGAGATTCGAACCGCCGACCTTCTGATCGGCAAGCCCTAGGCTCAGTGGTTTAGACACAGCACCACCCACGTTCTCATTTACCTCTCTTTAAACACAGGACTGTGAGTCTAGGGAAGGTTAAAGGACCTCAAGGGGTTACAGTGAAATTCTGTGTTTACTGATATTTCTTGCCTGCTCCCTGGAGGGGCCAGTAGCATTAGCACTGGATTACAGTGAGTGTTGGGAAATGCCTTCCAATTTCCGCTGCACAAGGAAGGGTAGCGCTTGGGGTCAGCTACGGAACAGTGCAAATCACTACTCCAAATCACTACTCCATAATGCAAAACCACAGGCACGCCTCATGAATACTGAGTCACTCTTGATATCAATATGACAGAATTAACTGTTCCATAGAAGAGCTGGTCAAAAGTGTTTGGGTTCCTGGGTGGAGCTGCAACAAACACTCCCCACCCTTAGTCAAGATGTGCTATTGCCCAGGCAAGGTACTGTGGCACCCAAAGGAGAAAACCGCATAAGCAGAAATAGGTGTAGCTGCAGTCTCTCCCTGGCCATTTTTTTTTTAAAAACTAACAACTTGCTGTCTTTCTATGGCACACAAATCCAGCTGCCTGAGGTGCCTGCCTCACTCTGCCTAATGGTAGGGCCACTCTGCAACTTTCCCCCCACCCACTGCAGGGCACAGGTGTCTAACCCTAGTTGTACCACAGGAAAAACATCCACAAGCCCAGGAGAGGAAGAAGAGGCCACGAAGAACTTATGAAGTTCTGAAGTCTCACCCGACTACATCACAGTCCCAAAACATCTCTTCAACAGCAGCAGCAACAACACCACAGAATGCACCTCTGAGCACATGCAGAGTGCCCGTTGGTGCAACCAGCTTTCTTAGGCTCCGGAATTAGGATGCAGAGTTTTAGGATGAGATTACCAGGCTTCTAGGCAGAGTTGTCCACACACGCTACATTTAGAAAATAAAACGGGAGGAGAGAGAGGAGGGAGGAGACCTAGGAAGGGAGGTTCCTAGTGGCAGAACGAAATTGCTGGCTGTAATAAGGCAAAATGGCCCAAGAAGCAATAAAGATATGATAGAATATTGATCGCCAGGGTTAAAGAGCGGGTGAGTGGTGAGTGTTTATTCAGAGGGAACAAAGATGCGGGAAGTTGGGAAGCAAAAGGGGATTTGAATCCCAAACAGATCCAGACGCAAATACTTAAGGTAACGGGGATCCAGATAATCTAGTCGGGGCTGCATTTTTGTTTACAGGAAAGAGAGAGCGAGAGAGCGATGCTATGAGGATGCGGTAGAGACGAGCCCATTCAGAAATCAAACGCAGTAAATCATTTTCTTACCTCAAAGCGCCAGCAGACCTCGATGGACGTCCTTCCTCCTCGCCTTGCTCTGCAAACAGCGGAGCTAAACCGAAAGTAAACCTTTCTGAGCTGAATGCGGAGGGACTTCCCGTTACTCCCGCCCCCAGCCAGGGAGTGTCCACAAATTCCTTACTAGATACTGGTGAGGATTTTTCCATTCCATCTTTAGGCCATTAATCTTAAAGTCATGGTGTCCTCTTGTTTTTGTTGTAAACAAAAACTGCTACGTTTCCCTTATGGGGTACACATTGTAGGTTCCCTATCAGTAGGAGAAAATAACAGAGGCCAACCAGAGAATATTGAGACGCAAAGCAGCTAGTAAGCCTGATCTTTATTAAACCTGTTGCAACAGGGTGCTCCCCACACACGCAGGAGAGAGGAGGAGGACTTGCTATATTAGAACGTGGATTAAAGATGGTGTCGCTAGAGGAAGCATCGATTTGAGCTCTGTGTCAGTTGTGTGGTTTTTATTAGGTTTTACTAGTTTTACCAGCTTTTTATTAGCTTTTATCAGTTCTAGTATTTTATCGCTCGGTATCTTTTTCTTAATTATTATAATCACAAGTTTAAACTAAAAGTTTTAGAGAAAACCCTGGAAAGTCTCGGAGAAAGCCTTAATTAGCTCCAGCTCGACTCAATCTACCAGCTACTTATCAGCAGGAGAGGAGATTGAACGCCCTAATCATGGAAGGACACTAGTAGCTGCTGCATCTCCGTGAAAATGTCTAGGAAAAAGAAGTGACCAGCTTCATATTCACAAGTGAGCCCACAGCAGAAGTGCAAGCAGAGCAAACTGGATGATTTCATAAGAGCCCAGAATCCAGAACCTACCACATCAAACAGAGTTCATTCCCAGGTAGGTGGGGACGCTTAATGGGTGGAGACCACCCAGGGGAGAACGCTGAGATGAGCACCCATGAACCATCTCATGAACTACTATCCGAGAGGGCACCACTCTATGTGGAAATACTCGCGGACCACTGCCTGCTGACTGCAAGAACAGTGGAGGAAATTAACACCAAACTAGAAAAGGTAACATCACTCCTGGCTGAGTTGGTGCTTTTGGCGGCCAGAAATAGCACCCTCAATACTAAAGAGACTGACCGTAGCGTTGCCCTCCAAGACCACTATGCACAGGGGTGTAACCGGTCTGGATCCGACAACCGAGAGACTACTAATAGCAAAAGTAACAAAAGTGAAAATAGGGACTGGATCCTACAAAACACCCAAGTAGCTCTCGATATACAGTATGTCCTTTCAACGGTATGCTGCCTTACTGGAAATCAATCGCTAGTGTGAAGAGAAACCTTAAGCTTTTACTAAATATCCAGTGCAACAACCTGATTGCGATAAACTTGCTTTGCACGGACTTCCAACACACCAGACTCATGCTGACCTTTTCCAACTCGACAACTCCTAAAAAGCTCCCGAAATATAGGGCCCTCTTACAGGACTATAATATTGAGTTGAGGCGAGTTTTTAAAAACACAGAACGAAAACAACTAGTGCCAAATTTGCCGTATTGCCGTACTGACCTTAGGGAATCAATGCCCTCTTTGTCGGAGGGCACTTGGCATAGTCCTGTGGTTCATTCGGCAGGGCCGTTAAGGATGGATATGCGTGATGCACCCAGCCGTAACACTCCCTTGGAGAGGAAAACTTCAGAACAAAAAGGCTAGTTACATAAAGAACGCCAGCCCAATCTAGATAAGTCAAAGACAGGATACTCCAGTAGCCCCTTGTTTGATCTTGAAATTCACCATCCATTATCCTGGCTGGAACCCAATCAGCCATCGCCAAGTGACGCTCCTCCCAAGGGAAATGCGACACACAGACAAACAGAGACAGATCTAATTGTCTTCGATGAAGACCCCCCAATTGCCTTAGCAAATGACACCAGGGTCCACGGATTAATAACCGACGCCCCAAGGGTAGTGGACGAAATACATCAGGAACCGTCCAGGGCTTCAAGTGATAGCCAACCTTCTGACATGCACCTAGATTGACTTTATACCATGGCTGGGAACCTGGTGCAAAATTCCTCTCTGCAGTTGTTATCGTGGAATGTGGCAGGGTGGTTTTCTAAGCCCTTATATAGACTTTTGAATTGCCTGCCCTGGAGTCCAAGAGTCAAGACCACCCCCAGAAACATCATACATACATCACAGAAGGGGTGTAGCCCAAGACCACCCCCAATACATCAGAGAAGGGGAGGACTACAACAGAAATCTGAGTGCGTTGATTTTATCCTGTCTGCCAGGTTACCTGATTGGATTACCTGGGCATCTTGGCCACTCTTTTGTTATAACTGTACTCAATTATTGACTCCAGGTCACAGGCTCACCCTATTCATATCTTAACTGTGCCCTTGAGACAGGATTTGTGAGCAAAGAGACAATGGAGAGGCTCCCCATTTCCTTTGACCTTGCAGAGAAATATTTGAGGTCAATTTGGAAGAGACAAATGGTTTCAGGACTTTGCCTGTGGGTCTCAGACATGTGGTCTATACATTTATGTATGTGCTTGCTTGGTACATTTATGAACATCTATTTTATATTTATAAGACCTTAAAATTCTTATAACATTTTCATAAACACTGTTGGAACACTTGATGACCCCACTGGCCATCTATTTTATGTGATTCCCAGGAAACCAAATTTAATATGGGTCTAGCAGAGAAATACTCAGCTAGTGTTTTCCCAGTCCTACCATTCTTGAGATTATCATTTGAGCCTGTAGGCAGTGTTGGTGGCCAAGCTATTTTGATTGCTGGGCAAGGCTAACTACTTTTTAAAAGATGTGACTATAATATTTAAAATAAAGTGCCATATATATATATGCACACAATCTCCAATCAACTCTATAATCCATATATATATATATATATATATATATATATATATATATGCAGGTTTTGGTGTCCTCGGGTGTCTTCCCGTGTAAAAGTTGGGGTGTCTAGGCGACGTTTCGACGAGGTCTCACTCGTCATCTTCAGGCTGGTGTTTTCGGCTTCTTGTTACTGGAACAGAGCCTGTTCCAGTAACAAGAAGCCGAAAACACCAGCCTGAAGATGACGAGTGAGACCTCGTCGAAACGTCGCCTAGACACCCCAACTTTTACACGGGAAGACACCCGAGGACACCAAAACCTGCATTCCTGTACCCGTGAAAATCTACGAAAGCAAATATATATATATATATATATATACAAAATTGAACCAAGTGACACCCAAGAATTCTCTTAAAAGCAGTTTTATTTCTTGCTCCAGCAGAATACAGCAAGCAATCAGAGAAGGCAATTAGAGGCTGAACCCTGATCCCCAATTACACAGATATAAATCTGTTATGATCTACCTGTCAGCCTGCCCGCAAGGCATACATTTCCTGTTTTGCACTTGTTTTTAAAGGTCATGGCTAAAGACACTTTCAGTTTTTTCCTTTACTCCGTTTGTGATTTGTACCATCTCTGTCATGATGCTGAAATGCAAACTTAAGAGAGGAAGAATGAGAATACATGATCAAGTATTCCAAAAGGACTGGAGTAAATTTATATGATATATGAGATATATATGAAATTTATGATATGAAAGATTATTGTATGCAATTAACATCACTAGCAGGGGTGTCTGAAGACTTGTAATGAGACATTTTCTACCTTTCTATATTTATTTAAATTTTGAGCTGTTTTGTAATGAGTAATTAGAATTGGAAAACGTACAAAATGCAATGATACAAAGGTTAATTTTGAAAGCCATGAGACAGGAGGGAAGCAAGTCGATAGAGTCTAAAGAGCCAGGGAGGTAAAGTGGATAATAATGATGTGAATGTATATTATTAAATGGAAAATAAGAATTATAGAAAATCATAGAAAATACATGATTATGGTGTCAGCCATCACAAACTTTTCTTCTTAGGCTTGCTGCTCTGAAGGCAAAACAGTCCACATTTTTCTAAGGTGTAGGGGGACCTGTCCCCTAAAAAATAATTAATGGGATACCCAACAGATCTCTCAGCTGAGAGTTTTAAATCTTTGAACAAGACTGCTCTTAAGTCCTTGTAGATTGGACAAACCAGTAGGCAGTAGAGTAAATCTTCAGGCACATTGGCAAACTCTCTCTTCATAAGGAATAGGGTGATAGCATCCTTCAGCTTTGGCAGAGTGCATAGACTGGAACTGCAGAGCTGTAAAGGCTTTTATCCATCTGAGCTTTTAAAGGTCTGGAACACTGAAGAGAAATGTGGCTTTCCACTAAAAGACATATTCAGTACCCACCTGTCCAGTATTAACTCTCAAACTATTTGCTCCCCTTTTCTACTGACATCATGCATTTGGGTGTAGGTAGATTATAAACTATTGTTTTAATCTGCTGGAACAAACAGTATAGAGAACAGACGGTGTTCAAAATTTAGATAGTGATTTGGGTTTCAGGTTAAAGCAGAAAAGTGGCCAAACCTGGTTTGTAACAACATTTCATTTAAGTACTGAATGGTTGTTTATTTTGCAGTTTGTAATTCCTTTCAGTATTATTATTATTTTTGTACCCTCACTAGCACAGAGTGCTGGCTTAAAGCACAGCAGACCAATATAAGGCATCTCCATATGAGAGGAAACTCCAGCACTTCTTGCAGTGAAGACATGGAGGAATCAGGGAGTGACAAGGGAGTGACAAGAGCTTTATAAGATGGCAGCCAGCTATACTTTGGCAGGAGAAGAAAAGAAGAGTGCAGCAGAAACTCCTGTTTTAAAAAGCACAAGGCTACAGAGCCAAACTCAGATCCCAAAAGCCTCTGGGCTCACGCTGCTGCCCAGCATCTCATTGCCAGCCTTCACGCACTGAGCCAGCTGGGACCCTGCAGACAAACAAAGAGGCAGAGTTAGGATCTACCAGCACCAAATATCACTTTTCAGCCTGCGCCCAACTCTTTTTCCAGGGCCAATAACTGATCACTCCATCTATGTGCGATGGGGAGGAAGACAGAAGGCTGCTGTTCATTCCATCTTTTACTCATTTTTTAAAGTGAAGTCTGAGTGTGCTCCAACACATTTTTTTCCCAAAGGCCTGGAAGGGGAAACCAATCACAAATCATACAAAGGGGCAACATTTTGAAGTGCAATTAACTGAATGGCAGAAAGGCAATCAAGAGACCACTGGATGGTGCAGAAATGAATTTTTTTTTTGGGGGGGGACGACACTTCTTATTTCAAAGCACAAATGTTCCTCATAGTGATTGCAAGCAGGAAGCGCTGCCTTCTGAACTGGATAGGCAAGATCCAAGCAGGTGTGCTCTTTGCCCTGCAAGTCATCCTCATTCTACGCTCCCCTAGTTGGAATGATAGAGGAATCACCATCTTCCCCAGCCAAAATCTGAAGAAATCTCTAATGCAGGACCTGGAGACAGTTGCGCCTTCCAGTTTAACAGACTGGAACCCCTATGGTGAGCCAGGATTATTTTATTTTTTAATGTACACTGTAAATTGTTGGGAAAGTGGATTGGTCTGAGATTAAGTAGGGGTGGAAAAACCCCAGCACCTCAAATGAAATACAGCATAGTTTAGACTCCTGTTGGAGACTCATCTTCAAACTCCAGCCTCTGTCTAGACTCCTTCATTCTTCCTCAGCTTACTGGCATCCAGCTGCCTAAAACTTTCTGCCTCCAGGACAGCTGGGAAGCAGAGTTCATTCTTATCAGCTTTTCCCAAAGCCCTGCTCCATCAGGCACGTTCAACCCCTAAGCAGTGCCAGCTGGTCATTATCAGAACAACAGTTTAGGAAATGGTGCCAGTTTGATTCCTCCCTTTTTCTCTCCCTGTCCCTTTCCCCCTTGTGTTGTTGTTGTTTTAAGATTGTAAGCCTGCAGGTAAGCACTGTCTCGCTTTACCTGACTGTATTTAAGTCACACTAAAGAGTAACTTATATACAGTCACTCTTTACTGAAGAGTGGAGTAAAGGTAAAGGGACTGGACCGTTAGGTCCAGTCACAGACGACTCTGGGGTTGCGACACTCATCTCGCTTTACTCGCCAAGGGAGCCGGCGTACATCTTCCGGGTCACGTGGCCAGCATGACTAAGCCGCTTCTGGTGAACCAGAGCAGCGCACGGAAACACTGTTTACCTTCCCGCTGGAGTGGTACCTATTTATCAACTTGCACTTTGACATGCTTTTGAACTGCTAGATTGGCAGGAGCACGGACTAAGCAACGGGAGCTCACCCTGTCACAGGGATTCAAACTGCCGACCTTCTGATCGGCAAGCCCTAGGCTCTAAATAAATGCTCTAAATAAATAAAAGCACAATAAGCCTATTGTGCAATTCCCTTCCAAGAGAAGTTAGACTAGCTCCCTCTTTTGTTACCTTTATTCAGACAGGCCTTTGAAAACTAAGGCGCAGGTGATGTGGAATAATGAATGGGCTGGTTAGGACAAGCTGAACTTCCATGATTGTTTCAAAGGCATTTTTAATGCATTTTCATTAATTTTGTTTTACTGCTCGGTGTTTTAAAGTGTTTTGAAATATAAATCACCTTCTATCCCAGTCTGGGAGAAAAAAGGGGTATAAATACATTAAGCAAACAAACAAGTTTTTCACCTGCAGTCGCCTGGAGCCAGCTGAGAGCTTTAGTTTCCAGTAATTCCCATTCATCCCTCTGGTCTATGGCACTGGAGTGGAGCCAGAGAAGGGCCAGAACAGTCGCCCATGCATCTGGAGTCACCTGGCAATATGGAGCAGGAGTCAAAAGACAGATATGCACTGAGCCCTGCTCCCTCACTGGCTCTGTACGGAAATTACATTTGACAGTTCTTAAAGAAAAACAAAACAAAGGCTGAGTGTGACCTTTCAGTACCTGGTTACAGTTTAGCCACAATTTGGGAAATAAACCCATGAATCTGATGAACCATCTGCTTTTGCAGATCTACTTTCTCTCTCTCTCTCTCTTTGTCTCTCTCGTTGAAAGCATAAAACATGGCCATAGTGGGAAAATACTCACAGAAGGAACTCCGATGCAGGAGAGATTTTTAATTAATTGCTTCCAACAATCACTTTAACAGAGCTTTTATTACAATAGACAATGCCACTGATCCTGCCACAGACCTTACCTGGGCAGGTGATTTGCTAGAGATCTCAGTCTCACTCAGGTCTAGGATGGTGGCCAGACCAGAATCAAGTGGCCAAGAGCCATTAGCATTTTGCAGAGACACCAAGCTCAAGAGAGGCGATTCCTTCTCCTTGGGAGTGGGCTCTGCAAGGGGCAATAAAAAGAAGATAAATTAAGACAGCTCATAGCCTCCACACCACATTCAGAACTCTCCCATCTACACTATTAGCTAGATTTTCCAAAGCTCTCAATAGACAGTCATGATGATACAAAGAGAGGTACTTCCTAATATGCTCCACCTTGATCACCGAGATCCTCTGAAGAGGCATTTCTGGAGGTTCCCCATGCCCCCGAGGTTTGGTTGGACTTCCGTAGAGACTGGGCCTTCAGTGTTGCATGCTCTGCCCCACAGGACTCCCTCCCAATTTGCAGGGAGAAGATATCTTTTTGGATATCTTCTGTTAACTGTACTGTTCAGACAAGTCTTCATGTATGAATCTCTTTGTTTAAACAAACTAGTATCAAAGGAAGTTTTATTGGTGTTTTTTTGTTATGGTTTATGGATATTTTAAACACTGATTTTATTATAATTAGTATGTTGTAAGCTGCCTTCATATGCAATTTAAACTCTGCTTGCCAGTTTTGCACAAGGGAAAATGCTGGAACTTTGGTCTGACACAGAGGGGCAGTTCATATATTCTAAGGGCTTGATGGGTTAAATACTTGGGCCTGGTTTACTTGCAGGAACCAGTGCAGTTGCTGTACATTATGTTCTCGTTATGTCTAGGTTCCATCAGGAGATGGGATGCGGCACTCTGTACCAGCCGATGCTTCTCAGTCTCAGAGTGTGCCCATCAAACTTAAAACTCAAGGTTACTGAGAAAAGTGCTTGTAGGGCAATCTTATCCCTGTCAATTTACACAGGACAGTAATTAAGGCAATGGGCTTGTAGTTCACTTGGTCTCCCACTCCTGGCAGCAAAGCCTCCTTCATAAGTTCACCACACATGGTGGGTGAGGTTGTACTGCACCAGAACAAACATTTACGCTGACTGAGCCTATGCATGAGTAGCTTCTTACAAGGAGACTTCCACATCATCAGGATGGGAGCCCAGGCAGGGCCGTCTCCAGCAGGGGGTGCAAGGGGCGCTCGGGTACCACGCTCCTGAGGGCGCCAGGTTGGGGAGTCCGGGGCTGAGTTGGAGTCATCTGGGAATGGGAAGAGCTGTGAAATGTTCTAGGGATAAGCATTTTTGTTGTTGTGAATTCTATTGATGTTAACAACTTTATCTGACCAGTAGTACCAAAATCTCTTAACTGGTATTTGAAGCATACAGTATGTGTTAATGAGATAAAAGCAAACTAACCGTGGCTCCAATTGAGAAAATGTTTGATATACATTGACTTTTAGTGGGTTGATTCATTTTCCACATTGATCAACGTTTTATGACCAACAAGTTTGCTAGAGAGAGATTTTTCCAAAAAAAAGGTCAACAACTTTGGGGGCGCTGGGCGGATCTTTGCACCCCGGCGCCACATATGCTTAAGATGGCCCTGAGCCCAGGCAGAAGCAGCAGCTTAAATATTGTGTTTATAGACGTCCATGCTAAAAAGCATTGGCATCTGAGGATGGGGTCAGCAACATAGTCCTGTTCCCTGGTTTTCATGTGAGCACCAGTACTGACATGGCACATTCAAGAGGTTTAAAGTTCTGTTTTGAAGTGCAAGCTTCTAGACCTCACAGGGTCCAAAAACCAATACCACACACACTGAAAGTTGAATTGCTGGTACCCGACTGGAAATACAGAAGGGGTTGAATAACACTACATAATTGGGGGAGGGACTTACCTAGGATCCATGCCCACTTTGGTCTCTACTATTTCCCCCTCAATCAACCTCCCTTTCTGCCTCCATCTCCCAGTCAGAAGAACTGACAAATGCAACTCAGATTGATTTCAAATTCTCCTTGTCATTTTTGCCAATTCAGTAGAGAATGGGATAAATAAGGTTATACTTAAAAGAACATTGTAATCATATGAAATCGTTGGCATGTTTTGAATGACTCCTGCAAAGTTATACAAATCATAGATATTTTGGGTAAACTGAAGTTAGGTAATAAATAATATGCAGTTGATAAAGAAAACTTGGAACCTATGATGGAGAGATTGGAAATCATAATAGGTGGAAGGAATTTGTTAAGTATAGAACTGTATTCTTTTATGTATGTTATTTGTTTTACTGTTGACTGGTGATATTAAAATATATATATTTTTTTTAAAATACAAGTGCAACTCAAGCCAAGCATGCAATTCAATATCCCATTCACATTATTTCAGTTACATACTTATTGCAAGTAAGACCTATGTACAAAATGAATGCATTCAGTGTTTTAACTCTTCTATGCAGAACACAAACAGATTCAAGATGGTGGCAGTGTTTTTATTACCTGAGGACTTAGCAGAGTAAGAATTTTGAATGGGAGGAGGAGGTGATGACTGCAGCGGGAAGCCACACATCTTTCTCATAGCTCGTTTGCCCTTGAATAGACCGGCTAGATCAAGGGGGAAAAGACACAGAAATCTATTGTGATTTTGAATAAGGTATAGGTCCCAGGATTCTTTGGTGGCAAATGTGCTTTAGGTATGTGGTGTTTATGCAGCCATTGACTCTACAGCAAAGAGCTGCCGCCCTGCTGTCTTCTCCCTATTCTATGCCTGCCTAGGACTGCTGCTCTCAAAGCCTAGGCTGGACCTCCATGTTTTTTAAGGACTGTAGTCCTTTTAAGTGGCTTTCCCAATTGATTTGACTCCAACTTCCATCTGCCCCAGTCAGCAGTGGTCACATGTACAAGTTGTAGCCCAACAACATCTGGAGAGCCAGAGAGACTGATTTTGAAGGGAAGAGGTTTTTATGTAGTTTATAAAAGTTTAGAATTGTCTTCTAAATGGCTCCCTTTCACAGAGATTAGGGCCAAGCCATGTCTCAAATTAACCCAGATGATTAAAAGTTAAGGGAACAAGTATTGCAGATAAGGCCTATGTACAAAATGAATGCATTCAGTGTTTTAACTCTTCTATGCAGAACATGAACAGAGTTGAGATGGTGGCAGTGTTTTTATTACCTGAGTTAACCAAGCGAGGATGTTGCGTGGGAGGAGGAGAGCAGGAAACCATCGGGTTGCAACCCGCCGTTGGCATTCGTGAAAATGATATGCCTAGAGATGCAGATTGTGCATAGCACAATGCCATTCCGCCTTGTACTAGACCAAGGAGGAAAAAACACACAAATCTAATGAGATTTTGAACAAGCTACAGGTCCCAGGATTCTTTGGAGGGAAATGTGCTTTAGACAAATGGCGTGTATGCAACCATTGACTCTACAGCAAAAGAACTGCCGCCTTCAGGGGTGCCAACTTGAATAAAATATATGGGGGGCCCAGGTAAGCCCAACCCCGCTTAATCGATCATATGACATGGTTCACACAAACAATTTGAATGGCAATGCCCATCAACTTTGCAGTGGTCCAGACCCTTCAGATATTTTATTGGGGCAGGGTGAATCCCCCCAAAGCCCCTAGGAGTGGGCACCTATGGCCGCCTTGCTATCTGCTCCCCATTCGGACTGCAGCACCCGCAGCCAAGGCTGGACCTCCATTGTTTAAAAAATACTGTAGTCCTTTCTTGGCCAGGGAGCAAGTGGCTTTCCCAATTTGTTTGACTCCAGCATCCATCTGCCTCAGTCAGCAATCATCACATTTTCAAGTTGTAGCCCAACAACATTCAGAGGGAGGGAGGGAGAGAGGTGGGGAGAGATTTAGATTTAGAAGGGAAGAGAGTTTTAAGTGGCTGATAAACACATCAGTAGGGCTGAAGGAAGTTCCCTGAGAAGTCTTCTCAATGGCTTCCTTCACATAAATTAGGGCCAAGCCATCTCAAGGAAGCACAAGCCACATCCTGGACCAAGATTATTACTCCCTCTTCCTCCTGCTCAAGATGCTAAATGTTAAGGGCACAAATAATAGAAAACCCTTCTCCAAGCACCATCTTGGCTTTCTTGGGTTGTGACCATTGAAACTCATTGATATGAGGGAAATACATTGATATTGTGACCACATATCACTCTGCTCTAGCACTTAAAGCATTATTTTACCTAGGTTAAACAAAACTTGTCAGTTCTTGCGGTCTTAACAGTTTGTTATTAAACTTTGCTTCATGAATGGATTGTTGCCTAAGACCTAGAATATCTAGAAGACCTACTGAGACAGAATGAAAATGTTAGTTATATTCACTCTTGATATAGCTTGATATAGGTAACTTCTCACCTCAAGACCCCTGGTAGTTTTCAACACTGAACTCTTAGCTCAGTTTTTTCCTAAGTAACACCATTGCTAAGGAGTACTTATCAAAAACCTTTTCAAGTTACATATTATTAGCAAAGCTCATGAGTTTAAAGTTATACGTAATTGTTTGAGCACAGCTGAGGAAAATATTTTAAGGAGACTTTTGATGCCTTAGAATTAAAGTTCAGCTCATCATATCATCACGGCTTCTTCTCTTCTCCTTTGGAAGAACTCAGAAAGATACTCTATGCATGAATTATTTTTTAAATAAAAGGTGAGCTCTGGCTCCTTAGAATTCTTGATAACCGTTTGAAATGTTCTTGTGCTCATTAAATGTCCATTATTCACTTCTGTATGTATATTATTATTTAAATATTGTTTGATATTTTGAAGCATATTAGCTTTTTCTAACAATTTTTTATGAAATATTTTGCCTTAACTATTTCTTTTCAGTGCAAAGCCTGCCAGAATCCACAATTAATCAGGCAGGTGTACTTCCCTAATGGAATAGCTAATATTGTTTCATTAGCTTGTATCTCTAATATTTAGAGAACACCAAGTGATGGGAACTTTCCTAAAAGAGCCAAAAATATGCCAATTGGATCTGAAAGTTCAAGCTGGAATGTTGTAGAAGTAAGCTAAGATTTAGACAGAAACAAATTTGAAACACACACACACACAAACACACACACACGAGTGGGATACCGGATATCTCCAAATTATCTTAATGAAGGCTGAGTAAAACCAACTCCAAGTCACCCCAAAAGTCTTTTCTAGAAGGTACTGAGCAGATGCAGTGACACTGAATCCAACATGGAATCCATGGTCATTGCCAAACACATCTCCTTGAACTCACATGCATGGGGAATGTCTCGGCGGCTGAGGGGCCCTTGAAGTGCTGTGCCCAGCTCCATGTTCACTCCCACAAAGGCCGTCTGTGAGCACACCACCCCAGAGCTCAGGCTCGTCTCCAGTGCCAGGCGCTGCTTTTCTTCTCCCTTCTCCCAGCCTCCTCCAGTTCCTTTAGGAGGGTCTGAGCCGCCAGACGGTGAACAGGAAGCCTGCAGTATGGGAAAAAGGGGGCAGCGGGGAGATAAATGCAGGGACCACTTGGCATGATGTCAACCCCTTAATATAGGCCATCCAAATCCCAATCTTCCTTGACTAGTGGCAAATCTGGATTATAACTTGATGGCTTCCAAATGCTATCTGTAATTAAATAAATCGTATCACTTTTGTCCAAGGTTGGGGGGGGGGAAGACTTACAAAATGTGACAGTACTACCTGTCAGTCTCCTGAGACTGAGTGAGAACTTCATTGTTTCTTTGAAAGTCTGGTCTTGGAACTGGTACTGAAGAACAGCAGTCCCTTCTGTGGAGCCTGAAGACTGCAGAAGAAAAGAAAGCATCAAAACTGGGAAAGGGTAAGAAGCCTTTGGAACAATACATTCTGGGATTATAAAACACCAAGACTGGCAGGTTTTGGTATTTAGGATAGGAGGGAGGGATTATTCATTGGTTAAGGTCCTGGTGGTGGTCGGTACTTGCCTGGTCCTGCCCATGGATCTGGGCATAAATGAGGCAGCGCTGGCCCTGGAAGATGACCTGTGGGCCTGACCCCACAAGCTCAGCCTTCAGACCAGGAGGCAAGTCCCAGCTCAGAGAGATCCTGGTCACGGCTGGCTGCAGGGCCTTCTTCAAAGACTGCAGGGCCTATGGGAAAAAAGAATTTTGCAATGACATCAAGAGAATATAAAAGTTCCTGTTCAACTATCGCTTAAAAATAAGTTTCTATGTGAGATTGTTTTGAAACTGTGTGAACAGTGCTTGCAAAGGAGTCAGGAGAGGGGCTGGTGAAGATGCCATTTTGGTTTCTCCAAAAACCACTGAACATAGAATAGAAGCCTGCTGGACAGTCTCTGAGCAACACAATGACTGGGCCACACAGGTAAAGGGACCCCTGACCATTAGGTCCAGTCGTGACCGACTCTGGGGTTGCAGCGCTCATCTCGCTTTATTGGCTGAGGGAGCCGGCATACAGCTTCCGGGTCATGTGGCCAGCATGACTAAGCTGCTTCTGGCGAACCAGAGCAGCACACGGAAAGCGCCGTTTACCTTCCCGCCAGAGTGGTACCTATTTATCTACTTGCACTTTGATGTGCTTTCGAACTGCTAGGTTGGCAGGAGCAGGGACCGAGCAAGGGGAGCTCACCCCGTCGTGGGGATTCGAACCGCCGACCTTCTGATCGGCAAGCCCTAGGCTCTGTGGTTTAACCCACAGTACCAGCCGCATCCCCGTGCCACATAGGGGGCACTAAAAAGATTCGAATTCATAAGCAGATGATGGGTTCTATGAGAAACTGAGGTGTTGTTTTTTTGTCAAGCAGAAACATGCAAATATAGCACTTCCAGACTTGCTACTTCCCAGGTAGGATTCCACAGGACACTGGAAGATTCAGATTGTGCAACTGAAGCTTCCTCCTCAAAAGATAAGACTTTCTGCAGAATGGGAAGCAACAGGAAAATGCACCGGAAAGTGTGAAATAACCCTTGCTTGATGCAACGTCATCTAACCTCCCTATAAACAGAGGAGGAATCCTCAATAAGCCAGGCAATCATGAAGGCAACCAATGTTTCTTTCCATCGAAGTGGTTTAAAATGTCCCATAAAGAAAGCGTAGCTATTGGGCACTACTAGCAATGCAAGGTTTCCATATGCAGTTCAGGAGAAGTGTAGAAGGGTGAGCCTAATGATCAATCTGAGGGTGCAGTCCTTATGTATTAAGGTTTCATGGATATTTTCCAAAACTTAGTGGTTGTGCTGCGTGGGAGAGCTGGGATTCCATGCTCTGATGGATTGTCAGGGGGCTCCTGGCAGTTTACCCACAGCTCAGGAGAAACTGGTGGAGACCAGGAGAAGAGGAATGTGGAGCTCCTGAGCCTCACCTTGGCCTGCATGCGCTCCTTGCCTGTGATGAATTCAGCACTTCCTCCGGCCGCACGGGCAATTCCTTTGATGAGGGCTGTGGAGGCCCCTTCGCCAATGCCGAAGGAGAAGCACCTGTCAGGGAAAGAGGAGGTGAACCTAGGCCAGGTGCAGAAGCTGTGAGATAAGTGGTTTCCCTCTCCCTTGCCTTACCTGTGGGAGCTGCTGTGATGTTGAACTTCAGCAATGACCTTATCTGTATTAGACACCTCTCCATCCGTGAACACAAAGAGCTAGAGAGAGAGAGGGGAGGGAGAACAGAGAGGTATCAAAACATATCCTATTTCCCCTTTGAAGTCCATTTGCAGGCCCCAATTGCATTCAAACCCCACATATAAACGGGGAAAATGCCTTTCCTAGTGGTGGTGCAATTGTATAAAGTGTGTGAGGGAGTGGAAGACTGACTCTTTAATTCCTCCATACCATGCAAGCTAACTTAAATGGCAGGTGATTGACATGTGGGGAGGCTCTCTTCTTTGACATCCATTTGCAGGCAAATTGCATTTGTCCATCTGCAAACAGACGAAGTTGGCCCCAATAACTGTTCCCCTTCCCACTTCCAAAGGGAGGTCTCAACTCAAGTATCTTCCATGGGGTTGTACATTTTTCTATTTATTCAAAATAATTTTAGACTGCTCTGTATCCTCATGGACATCAGGGCGTTATGTAGAAAAAGCACAATGCACATAACTTAAAACCTTCACAAAAAACACCAACTTCATGTTTGTTCCGCCACTCTTTGCAGGTCACTAAAAACCCTACTCTTGATACCTGGCGAGGAAACCCTTCCCGGCACGGCTGGCTGTAAATGGCCTTCAGTGGCCGCAGAATCTCTGTGCCCCCCAGATCGGCTTGCAGCTCCTTCACCCGTTGGAGGGACTTGGACATGGTCTCCTGGGTGTATTCTACACTCTGCCTGTAGAGAGTTTCAGAGAGTCAAGGAAGTAAAGGACCTATTTTCCTCCCAAGCTCAGCCAATTCCCCATCAGGCTATTTTGTAAACCTCCCACAACATTCCACGTTTCCACTAGGACCACCCTTTTATTATTTGTTACAGGGTCTAATTGCTCCCCTAAAACTCATCCAGTCAGATTCAAACTTCTCCTCTTCTCATCATTCAGTGCTCAGAATGCGCGAAGCCACATCAAGGATAGAAAAAGCCTATACTTACTGTGCAGGTAACAAGGAGGAAAGGGTAATAGCAGAACAAATGGGGAAGAGGAGGTGAGAAATGTTTAGGGGTCCAGAATGTGGCTTGCAGGAGATGCTGGGAAGCTAGCTTGTGAAAATACCCCGTCTAGCTTGGACAGATCTTCTAACTCCTTGGGTCAAATCTCTTGACACTTTAAAAAACCCTTCCATTTCATTGACCTATAAAAGCAAGGGTGAGGAACCTTTGGCCTTCCAGATGTTGATGAACTACAAGTCCTGACAGCCCTAGCAGGCAATGATCCAAGAGCCAGGGATTATGGAGCTGTAGTTCAGCAACATCTGAAGATAAAGAAGTGTGTTCAGATTCCTGTGTCAACCGTTGCCAGTGATACAACATAGGAGCAAATGGAGGAGCAGAGAAGTAACGAGTCTGACAATACTGGACATTCTTTTGACACTCACGGGTAGAATGAGTCATGGGTTGATCCAAATCCATAGATGTTGAAGTAACATCCCAGAGGGAGACTCTTCAGCAAGAAAATCAGGGTCTCCTGAAATGTGGGGTTGGGGAGGGGGGAGAGAAAAGCAGGAGTCACCCTAGGTGCCCCAGCCCAACCTCTAGCATTTATTTCAACATTACAGGCCCAGCCTCCTTCAAGGAACCATTCACCTGCAGTCTTCAATTACCCTCCCTTCTACCACTCCATCCTATTCTTCAAAACACAGGTTGGCCCCTTGGGTACCTTGGCACTCTGAATCCGCGTTGGGGAATCAGGGTTCCGGTCAGTCCAGGAATCCATGCTTCCAGAGCGGTCCAGCAGGAAGAGAAATTCTCCAGTCGCCTTCTGGCCTGGTTTTGGGGCAGGGACACTGGGGTACAGGGTGAGCAGGAGTGCTGGGTCCCCCATCAGAGAGCCTGTGCAATGCGGGAGGAAAGGAGATCCATTAGGCATTTTCACCCAAGACAGCACTCTTTCACCTCCCAGTACCCTTTGTGTTTCTGCCCCCATGTCCTTAGGCTTTGCTCACCTGGGGCAGCCCCAGGCTTCCCAGCCTCTAGGAGGGCGCTGGGCTTGTGAACGTCCTCGTAATATATCAGCAGCTCCACGTCTTGGTCGAACTGGTGCCCTTCGGCCAAGGAGACCTTTGGGGTTAGAAGCAGAAGCAGAGCTTGAATGTGGAGCTCTGTTCCTATTCCTCCCAAAGATGTTTAAGTGTGTAACACTTTCGAAAAACGTTGCTATGGAATTTGGCCATTTATTCCAAAACTGTGCAAAATGAGAGAATTCTAGGTTGTGCCATTTGATTCAATAACAGGCAGCAAAATAAATGATCAACTGCAGGACCTCCCCTGCCAAATGTAGAACCTGAGATACTGAGAGAAGCTCTCTTGGGTCCCAGGCTTTGTATGCCAATAGAAACACATTGAACTGGGTTCAATAGCTCACAGTTAGTCGATATTATTAAAATGTGCCCTTAGAGTAAGCATATCCGCATTATAACTGATCAAAAGGACAGGATCTGGGGCCAAAACCAAACCCTACTGTTTGGTTTTACATGACTGGTTTTATTTGTAAACCAATAGCCAAAGGTGATGAAGAATCATATTCAAGCTGCAGGGTAGCAAGAGATTTTTAAAAACCTTCCTGCCCCCCATAGTCCATCTTTTAGTGGGGTTGCATCCACACTTTGGAACTCCCTATGTATTGACATCAGGCAGGCTCCTCCGCCACACGCTTTTGGACACCTGCTGAAAACATTTCTGCATAGGCAAGCCTATCCATGGATGTAGAGTACTGACATATGTTTTAATCAATTTTTAAATCCCTGGTTTTAACTATTCCTGAATGTTTTAAATAGCTATTTTTTAAACTTTGCTAAGTAGTAATTTTATCGCTTCTTTCCCTTTTGCAAACCGCTTTGAGTGTGTGTTTATTTTTATTTTACAATCAAGTGGCATATAAATTATGTGAAATATAAACAAACAAACAGTGGTCTCAATAGAAATCCTGCCCCTAGGCTGCTTATTCGTAGTGGAAGGGCAGCTCCCACCTGCCCTTGTTACCAGTAATGCCCAGCATGGGAGTGGGATTCTGGTAGAGGCAACAGAGTTAAAACTCTCCTCTCCCACACCAAAGCCAAGATCCAGCTTGCCCCCTTCACCTTATTTGTTCAACCAGCCAAGCAAGGCCAATATATCTCTGTGTATAGGGTGGTATATAAATTCAACAGATAATAATAAAAATAATACCTGGTGGCTATTCACAATGGAAGGACAGCTCTCATCTCGCAAAGGGCAAGCATGGGGAGGGAGATTCCAAACAGGGCTGTAGGGGTCGCAAGAGTCAAATGTTCCCCTTCCCAAGCCATGGCCCCAATCCAGCTTACTCTTCCCTTTCCAGTTATTTGTTTACAAAAGAAAGCAAATAGCACGTCTATTTAATGATTATTTAGCTAAATTTGTTAAGCTAAAATAACTGGAAATAGCATCCAGATACTTAATGGGCTTAGGATTGTATTAATGTTAACTGATAAAATAATATGTCTAATACAAGAAGGAGAAGATTTAAAGATGTTAATGTTTAATTTAAAGGGTATTAAAATTGGGATTTGGAAAACCGTTATAAGGATATGCAATGAAATTCAACTAAGGGGAAATGAGGAAGTAAATAACTGTTATTTTCTAAGGTTATGATTTATGTTTGTTATGTTTTGTTTGTTTTATGTTTTTGTTTGTCGCTGATATTGTAAAAACTAATAATTTTTTTAGTAATAATACAAATAGCATGTCTATGTCGGCCATTAGACCTAAGCACAGATTTTGGGATGTGTGTGCAACTTCAAATGGAGAATGACAAATACACCCCTTTTCAGAAGCTGTTCCTTTCACTATTGTACCTGGGCAATCGTACGATCTTCTGCCCTGTAGCGCAAGGGCTCAAGGGTGCATTTGGACTCCACACAGTTGATGCCATAAGGTGACTCCAGGGTGGCACTGAGGCTGAGAGTGTAGGGAAGCTGCCCCTTGGGCAGTCGTGGTATGCTCTTGGTGACATTGCCCCCTTCTGAACCTGTACATGAGAGAGCGAGAGAGTCATAAACCACAGAATTGTAGAGTACCACGAGAATCATCTCATCCAACTCCCTGAAATGCAGGAATGCTCAGCTGTTTCATATGGGGATTGAAACTCCAACCTTGGCGTTATCAACACCACGCTCTAACCAACTGAGCTATCCAGCACACCATGGTTATTGAACACAATGGGCAAGCTCTCATGAGGAGGAAGACACTGTAACACAACCACATGTGGGAGGAAGAATAAGGCTGTTGGAGGTGAAGGCACCATTAAACAGTAATGTACAGCACGCCACCCCCAATCCCCAGGCGATTACCCAGGGTTCGAGTTTCCTGTTGGAAATGAGACACGGTGGGGACTGTCGTGTCTTTATGATATGTGGTTTTATTTACACATATATACAACCTGAGTCTGGACGGTGGAAAATCCCAGCGCTCACATCCCAAGAGGGTCCTGCTCCTTCCATTGCTGCAGCCGCCAATTCAAAGAGAAATCAGCCCTGCTCTCGGGGTCCTTTCTAGAGGCTGCCTCACGTCAGCCCACATGGCTTCAGCCCCCCTCCATCTTACCAGAAACCCTTGCCAAAAAATGCAACCAACCCCCCTTTCACTTACCGTATTTTTCGTCCCACAGGACGCTCCGTCCCATAGGATGCACCTAGTTTTTTTTTGGGGGGGGAAATAAAGGAAAAAATTTTTCCCTTTATTTCCCCCCCCAAAACCAGGTCGGGGAACAGTGGGATGGCGGCGCTGCGCCTTCCCGCTGTCCCCCGAGCTTGTGGGGCTGGCCGATGTCTGGCCAAAGTGCGGGGCGTTCTGCTTCAGCGCGCCCCGCGCTCCGTGCAGCAGGCTGCTATCCGCAGCATGGGGAGCCCTGCGGGAACTCCCGCAGGGCTCCTCACGCTGCGGATGTCTGCCTGGCGCGCGGGGCGCTCTGCTTTAGGGTGCTCCGCGTGCCGGGCGGCAGGCTGCTATCCGCAGCGTGGGGAGCCCTGCGGGAACTCCCGCAGGGCTCTCCAGGCTTGCTGATAGCTTCCTGAAGCCTGGAGAGTGAGAGGGGTCGGTGCGCACCGACCCCTCTCGCCCTTCAAGCTTCAGCGAAAGCCTGTATTCGCCCCATAGGACGCACCCCTTCATTTTGGGAGGGGAAAAAGTGCGTCCTATAGGGCGAAAAATACGGTACATCACCACTTCTAACAAACACACTTATGGCACTTCTCCAATTAAGTTAATGTAACAAAATACCTTCCTGGGCCTTTCCAGCAGAAAAGAGGAATCTAGCAACTGTTTCTTTTAATATTTTATTTGTGTCAGCCGATAAGCAGGACAAACCCAATTCAAAGCTCCTTCCTGGGCAATTTGGTAGGATGGGAGTAAATAATCTGTTTTGCTCATCTCAGTAAAGGTTGTACATATGAAATGAGCATGCATTAATGCTTCTGTTGCTCCAAATCCACAGAGCTTAGGTATAACAAAGCAGCATTGCAAGAGGCTTGTATGTGGGGCTAGTTAGCGTGTTTGGGGGTGCAGGAGCTTACCCTGAGGTGCATAGCGGGGGTTGAGGACAGCGGGCAGGACAAAGCGGATGGCCCCATCGGGCTCTGGAGCCAAGGCCTGGACGTAGGAGAGCTTCAGCGTGGCCTCCCCATCGGGAGGGAGGTTACCCAAGCTGCAGGTGAAAATGTCACTGGTGTTTTCTTCTCTTCCAAGCAGGAAAGCCTGCCGGCCTTCACTTAAGGCATCCTCATATTCCTGCTCTGCCTGCATTGGGTGGTGAAGAGAAGAGAAGAACATCAGGAGTGAGGAAGGCAAGGACACAGGCAGGTGTGGTCCCAAGAAAGGATTCCCATTTAAAAACAGCTGTTGACCAATTGGTTACCTACCAGCGAAGCTTCCATGCTTTTGTAACTTTACCTTGTGAAAGTAAATTATAAGCACTGTGGTATCTACACTGTGACTTTAGAATTCATACATTAGGTTAAAATTACACCAAGCTGCAGCAGAAGAGGCCACGAAGCCAGGCTTCCCACTACAGCAACTGGGTGTTGTTAGGCACTCTTTCTTTTAAGCACAACATATGAGCTTGACACAAAATCTGCTTGTAGGCACAGAGTCCTATCTACGGAAGCCTCTGCCTCCCTTCTGAAACTGGCCACCCAATGCCAAAGGCCCCGATTGTCCTCAGACCTTCCATACCTGTTTCTTCTCTCGGATCTGGGCCTCAATCCGTGTCCCACCAATCAGGCCCTCGAAGGCATACACGGCGGCTTCATCATCCAGAGGGAAGACAAACACCACCTCCACTGGGGACTTCTCCTCATTGTGGTAGCGAAGCTCAGACACTACGTCAGCCACAAAGCCTCGGACCACCACACCCACAGAGATGCTCTTCAAGGGCACTGGGGCAAGGAGAGAACAAGGAAGGCTCAGTGTCTGGCCCTGTGTGCACTTTGGAGAAACCCTCTCCAGTCATCTTGGCTCCCACTGCCAGGCCAGCCAGTTATTTAGGACCCCCCAACCTACACCATTACATACCATAAACAAGAAAGCTATATTTTGGAAATTTATAGCAGTATGTGGCTTATTGCCATTTTGCACTCACTTAGCTGAATAACCGTATGCAGGTAACTTACCAGGTTCCCGAGAGTTTGTGACAAGGCCACAGACAGTCATGGCCAACAGCAATAGTCTTTGCAGAGGGATTGGTTTCCCAGCGATTCACCACAACTGCAGAAAACAGAGATTAATTTTTGGCTAGAGGGGAATCATACATACAACAACTCTGTATTTCATTTTCCTTTGATTTAATGGAAATGGTAGCCCCCACTTATTTGTATGAAATATTGTTCCCATTTAAAACAATACTTTTTACCCAACATTATTAAGCAATTGCTCTTACAAGGATATTTGTTTGTCATTGTTTTCTGTCTCATCTCTGAATGCAGAAGAATGAGGGGATGCTAAAATGACAGATGGAAGGAAGGTGAGATTTGATGCCAGGTTTAACCAATCTTCTCTCAGCCCATGTCTCTCCCTATACTCCCCACCCCAATTTCTGGCAGCCAATCTCACTTGACATGCCTCTCATCCATTCTTCAGCCACTCCTTGCTCCCTGGTGCTCCTTCTGTATTCAGATCCCAGAGGGGAGCACCAGGGCAGAGGCTATGGTGACCAGAAGAGAAGCCTCTGAGCATGTGCAGAGTGCAGCCACTCAAGGAGAGGTGGGGAGGGAGCCAATGAACTGTTATGTTTCTTCCATCTGAGAGATGAAGAGACCCTTGAAGAAGAAGTCCAAAGTGCCCCCACCTCCAGGTCCCCCAGGAGAAAGCTGCCTGCAGCACTGCCCTCCTGAAGCTCTTAGCCAATGAATGAAGTCATAACTATGATTGGCATGTGGGGTGGGGAGGGGGGGAAGTGGAAACCCCTGAGATAATAATAGAGAAGCATGTTCATTGTTCTACAAAGGGACATCCTGATTGTCTCTAAGCAGCAGTATTGGGAGCAGGTGAGAAGGAGATGCAGAAGGAGATGTAGGGCTTGGGGCAAACTATGGCACAGTGCTCATCAATATGCACCTCCTGACTACAGGATCAAACTTGTCTGCAGGACATGTTTTCCACAGTGAGATCAACATGAAAGAATTAACTGTTGCATACCAGGGCTGGCCCAAGGTGCTTGACCACTTGAAGGGAGCTGCAACAAGGACTCCCCTCCACACAAAGTCAAGGTGTGTTACTAGTAGATGTCCTGGGGCACCCAAGGGAGAAAACAGCAAGGGAAGAGATTGGTGCAATCCCTCCCTAGCCATTTTTTGTGTGCTATCTTTTTATGGCACATAAAACCATCTGCATGGGCTGCCTGCCTCTGTCTGTCTAGTGGTAGGGCCACTCTGCAACCACCAACACTCACTTTTTCCTCCACCTGCTGCAGTTCTTGCCTGCTCTTTACCATAAGGTCCCTAAGGAGACCTCTACCACATGTGGTGGAAGTGTGGTAAAGTGAAGGGCTTCTGGGAATTAATTTACAATGAACTTAAAAAAGTTTTCAAGTACACCTTTCCAAAAAAACCTGAAGCCTTTCTACTGGGATTGGTAGGGAAGGAAATTAAAAAGAAAGATAAAAACCTATTTCTGTATGCCACGACGGCAGCAAGGACTATGTCGGCCCAGAATTGGAAAACAGATGTAATACCAACTATTATGGAATGGCAGGTTAAAATGATGAATTACGTGGAACTGGCTAGACTATCAGGAAAAATTCGAGATCAGGATGAACAGAAGCTTTATGAAAGTTGGAGCAAATATTTGGTGTATATAAGAGACAACTGCAAAACCTTAAAGACACTGGCAGGGTTAGATTAACTCCCACAGCATAGGGTTAACCAGATAAACAAACAAAATACGTGATGTAAGAAAATGTATGATACTTACTGAAGGGGTGGAGGGAAGTCTGAAGCTCGGCAGAGCCAAATATATATGTGAGATGTATTTGTATAATGAATGTATATTTAATGAAAATCAATAAAAAATTTTTTTTTTAAAAGGTCCCTAAGGATGCTAATTGTTCCCCCCCAGCATTAGCACTTGGGACGCGGGTGGCGCTGTGGGTTAAACCACAGAGCCTAGGACTTGCCGATCAGAAGGTCAGCGGTTCGAATCCCCGCGACGGGGTGAGCTCCCATTGCTCGGTCCCTGCTCCTGCCAACCTAGCAGTTCGAAAGCATGTCAAACTGCAAGTAGATAAATAGGTACCACTCTGGCGGGAAGGTAAACGGCATTTCCGTACGCTGCTCTGGTTCGCCAGAAGCGGCTTAGTCATGCTAGCCACATGACCCGGAAGCTGTACGCCGGCTCCCTCAGCCAATAAAGCGAGATGAGCGCCGCAACCCCAGAGTCGGTCACGACTGGACCTAATGGTCAGGGGTCCCTTTACCTTTACCTAGCATTAGCACGGGGTTCCAATGAGTGTTAGAAAATACCATCCATTTTGCACTGTACAAGGAAGTGTGAGGCTAGTGATCAGCTACAGAACAATGCAAGTTACTACGCTGTCTGAGGGACAGTGGATTGCCCCCCCCGAAAAAGTTTGCTGACCCCTGATCATTTGCAGTAGATCATTTTCTTACCTCAAAGCGCCCCCAAAACTCGACGTCCTTCGCCCCTCGCCTTGCTCTGCAAACAGCGGAGCAAAAGCGAAAGTAAACCTTTTTGAGCAGAATGCAGAGGGACTTCCCGTTACTCCTGCCTCCAGCCAGGGAGGGTCCACAAATTCCTTACTGGACACTGGTGCCTCTATTTTTCCATTGCATCTTTAGGTACAGGTGGAATATGAACTGAAATATTACATAGATATTAACACACACACATGCCGTGCCACTTTTAGCACTAACTGAGGGTTAGTAGTCCTATTTTAGACATAATAAAGGGCTTTGGCCACACTTTTCTTTTGCCCCACTCTTTTCAGACAGACACTCCATGTCAGAGGGGCTTCCCCGCCCCCCCTGGAAAACCGGCTCTTTCAAGCTGAATCGGAGCAAAGGAAAAGAGCACTGGGACAAAGAGCTTTAAATCGCAGATCATGCATGGAAAAATCAGAGGAAAGGTAAACGTGGATAAGCCCAAAGATGTGAAACCTCTCACATGGTTCCTTTTATGAGTGCTAGGCTCCAGATTGTTACTGAACCCTTTTGGCCTGTTTTTCTGCCTGTCTTGTCTTGCTGCTGTATGGAAAAACACATGAATCTTATCTGACCTTTGAAAAGTTTGTGAGTAAACATATTTTAACGTGTGTTCTCTTTCTATGCTACCTGTAAGGGAAAGTGGGAAACTTTGGAATAAAATTAGAAGTGGCTATTTTAAAGTTCTAAAAGCCTATATTTTCACACTTAACTTTGCTGCATATTTTGTAATTTTAAATCTCTGCTGGGGCTCTCTCACCAAAGAGTATATGCCCCAATTGATCCCAGCATCCAGGGAATTCTGTTTTAGTCTTTAAGCAAAGTAACTAAAATACCAACATTATAAGTCACTGTTTCTTTTATTGCACTGAATTTTATAATATGTTTTGAAATGTTGCTAGCCACCTGGAATCCCAATTTGGGAGAAATGTGGAATATAAATATATTAAATTAACAAATGAATAAGTCTCTCGCCTGCAGTTGCCTGGAGTCAGCTGAGAGCTTTAGCTTCCAGTAACTTCCACTCATCCCTCTGGCCTGTGGCCCTGGAGTGCAGCCAGAGAAGGGCCAGAACTGTCACCCACGCAGCTGGCAATTTGGAGCGGGAGTCAAAGAGAGAGAGACATGTATTAAGCCCTGCTCCCCCACTGGCTCTGTACACTTGGCAGTTCTTAAAGGAAAATAAAACAATGGTTGAATGCAACATTTCAATACCTGAACCGTGGTTACAATTTACCACAATCCGGGAAATAAAGCCATGGTTTGACTTTACTGCTCATTCCAGCATTATTTTCACAGAGGAAATTATAGTGAGGACAGATTCTCCCGCCTTCCTACTTATAGAATGAGAAGCAGGCCTCTACTGCACCCATAGGTGCTAACTCCCTGGGGCCCTGGGTGCCTGAGCACCAACAAAATTCCCCACAAATTTCAGGGCTAGGGCCATGCACGCTGCATAGCACCCATGACACTGGGCACCCACAGTCACAAGGCCAAGCTGACTGCATCTTATTCTGCATGTCCTGCACAGAGAGGACTTTGCCTGGCAGTCGAAACTCTGTGGTTTCATGAGAGTGTATAGAATCTTAAACTTGGCTTAAGGCACAAAACCATTGTTAGAACTAGGTAGTAACACCCCACCCCACCCCATCCCAGTGTCTAGAGTAGGTGAATAGAGACCAAAGACAGACATTTCCATCCACCGAAACAGAATTAGAAATACAATGCCACTGATTGTGCCAGAAACCTTACCTGGGCAGGTGTTTTTGCTTGATATCTCAGCCTCGTTCAGGCCTAGGATGCTGGCCAGGAGGACAGAACCAAGTGACCAAGAACCATTATTAGCATTTTGAATAGACACCAGGCTCAAAAGTGGTGATTCCTGCTCTGCAAGGGTTAGTAAAAATAAAATGAATTAAGACAGCTCGCAGCCTCCACACAGCATTCAGAACCCATCCATCTAAATTATTAGCTAGCATTTTCTCTCTGGGCCTCCTTTTTTTTGTTCTTAGCACAGTATCCTATCTGCCATTCTCTTTCCCAGTCGACTATTTCTTGTTCAATCTTTTCAAAACTCTCAATAGACAGGCATTGATCAGACTATAGCTCAGCAGTAGGCCCCACACCCTACCTGTCAGGCGATGACTGGTGCTCTGGGCCATTAAAGTTGGGAAGCAATAGTTACTAGTTAAGTTATGCAACTCATTATGACATGGCATGGTGACCATTGCTTTTAGAAAACACAAAATGAACTACAATTAACGTTACCTAAAAGGCTGCATAGCTTAACGCATAAAGACAAATTGCCATGTATATGCTCTTGTGTAACTTGATTTTGCAATTCTGTCACTTGCTGCAGTGAGTTCTTCCAAAGTATTAATCCTCCCCTCAATAAAAGAGCTTTGAAAAAGGAATCAACAGATCAAAAAGGAACTAGCTAGCTATTTAATTGTGTCAGCTGAGTGGAATTTGCCCTGAATAGCTGACACAGGAAACAAAGGAAAGGGGGGAGTGATTACAATTTAAACTCTGCTTGCCAGTTTTGCAGAAGTATCCCTGCTGGCGGGGTGGGGTGGGGGTATGCTGGGGCTTGGGTCTGATTCAGATGTGCAGTTCATAAGGGCTTGATGGGCTGGTGAGCTTGCAGGAACCAGTGCAGTTGCAGTGCGTACTATTCTCATTATGTTTCTTTTCCACCAGAAGATTGGATGTGGCACTCTGCACCAGCAGAGGCTTCTCAGCTCTGCACTAAGGCAGCGTCACAGTGTGCACAACAGACTTAAAGCTGGGTGGTGCTTTCCTCATTTCTCTGGCAGGACAAGTATATCCCTATCCCTCAATTTGCATCGGGCTATCATTCTCTGCATCTCTCTCCCTATTTGTCACCTTATTACCACCTGACAGAGTAGCCCTCTTCATCATGTGATGGGATGCTCTTACATTGGGTGAGACTGTGCTGGACTGATGAAGCCTATATATTAATAGCTGCTTACCCATAGACCTCCATGCAGTCAAGACTCCCAGCTGCAGAAGAGCTCCAGTTACATGGGAGACCACACATAAACAGCTGCTGGATGCATGGGGAGAAAGATTTACACTGGGATTTGCTGCCCCTGGTGGACCCTGCCAACTGAGGTGGTCGCCTCGCCTTGCCTCATGGGCAAGCTGACCCTGCTGTAGGGCATCTTAAAGATTTTTACAAAAAGAGACAAGTGACTGCCCTCTGGAAGTTTACAATCTGAAAGACAAGTCAGACAAGGGGAGTGGAGAAATGTTTTTTTTTTTTAGAAGAAAGGTAATAAAATTATGAGTTAATATATTTAGGGATTAGTTTCCTATTTAGGTGGGGGGTTTGGATGGCAGCTGTGGAACAGTGCCAATCTTATTTATTAATTTATTTATTACATTTATTTTCCTCTAAGAAGCTCAGGGTGGTACACATGGTTCTCTAACTCCCTATTTTATCCTCCCAACAACCCTGGGAGGTAGGTTAGGCCGAGAGACAATAACTGCCCCATGGTCACCCAGTGAACTTCAGGGCTGAGTGGGAATTTGAATCTTCCTGGGTTGCAGTCCAACACACTAACTGACACACCATAGTGGCTCTGGAAAAAAAAGAGAGAAAAAGAGGAAATGTCAGACGTGAGATTGAAACCCACGCCTCCATATGGAGACCAGAACACCCAATCCATTCACAGGAAGGCTAGTTCACTGCCTTGAGTCTGGCGCCTTAGACCCCTCAGCCATCCTGACACTGCATTAATGCAAAGTCGCAAGCTTGTCTCATGACTGCTGAGTTACACTTGCCTGGGGAGAACAGTTCCTGTAGTGAGATCAGAATGAAAGTATTAACTGTTCCATATAAGGACAAGGCCATGGTGTATTGTTATCTGAGTGGAGCAGGGAAGAGTACTCCCCTGACAAGTCAAGGTGTGTTGTTAACCAAGGCCAGCCAAGGTATATTGTGGCACCCAAGGGAGAAAACCGCATAAGCAGAGATTTGTGCAGCAGCTCTCTGGCCATAAAAACAAACAAACACAGCAATAATAACTAAACCTGTTGCCTTTCTCTAGTGCACAAAATCAGCTGCCTGCGGTGTTGGCCTCCCTCTGCCAAATGATGGGGCTGCCACTTCTGTCTCCACCAGTTGTAAGGTGCAGTGATCTAGCCTGGTTAGCTACCATAGGCAAAACAGCCCGAAGTTCAGAAGACTGCACTTCCATCTTGATAAGTTCTTCATCTGATCTGACACAGTCCCTTATCATATTTTCACTCAAGCAACTACGCAGAGCATCTGTAGCATGCCTGTCCCTCAACACTGAGCATTTGCGACCAGATTTTCCATACCCTAGGACTGCGATTACTCAGCTCTTGGGAGAGCTGTCCACTCCTCCATTTTTCAAAAATAAAACAAGTGAGGGGGAAAGCAGACCCACCAACTACTTTGTCCAGATTGCAGGAAGATGGATTCCTCTTTAATGGTGGGAAAGGGATTTTTTTAGTTCTTTAAAATTGCATTTATATCCCACCTATTTCTCCAAGGAGCGCAAGGTGCCGTGCATGTTTCTCCGTCTCCTCATTTAATATCCACAACAACCCTTTGAGGTAGGTTAGGCTTAGAGGCAGTGATAGGCCCAAGGTCACCCAGTGAGCTTCATGGCCGAGTGGGGAGTTGAACCCTCGTCTCCCAGTTCCTAGTCTCATGCGCCGACCACGATGCCGCACTAATTTGTCCAAAAGGACCACAAAACAGTTAGGGCAGAATACAGATTGCAATGGAGAAAAAATGGTGTGTGTGGGGTGGGGGGGGGGCAGGATTTTTCCAGAAGGGCCAAAGTTGCAGGAAGAAAAGCAAAGAGGGATTTTGTCCCAAATAGTCTGCATTTTTGTTTAAGTGAAAGGGAGTGTGTCTGTGTGTGTGTGTGTGTTTAGACAAGCCCACTCAGGAAGCAAATGCATGAAATCATTTCTCAGCCTCAAAGCTTGATTTCCCTTCCTCCTCACCCCCCCCCCCCTCTGTAGCTGCTGAGCATAAATGAAAGAAGGCTTTCTTAAATAGGAGCCATAAATAATTTCCTGTCGACCCCAGCACCCTCAGCCAGGGAACATCAACAAATGCTTTACCAGACACTGTTCAACACTTGGGATAGTGCATGTAGAAAGGTGAGATAAATTGAAATTCTGCACAAGTGAGGTTCCCCATGGGGGAACCATGCTGTAAAGCAACAGAGTGAAAAAGTGGGGGGGGGGAGGAACCATTCCTTCTCTTATTAGGCTTTTTTTCTTTGTTATTTAATGCAGAGGGATATATTGTTGTAGCCCACCCTGGAGCCCTAGAACAAAGGGCAGAATGTATGTTTTAGAAATCAATAAATCAAATAGCCGTTCAGTTCACAGGCACCCCTCCCCCCTCCTCCCCCCATAGTCTTTCCGTGAGTGGATTAGATGGGAGAGTAAAAATGTTTGGGGATGCGGGTTTACCGATCGAAAGGTTGGCGGTTCGAATCCCCGCGGCGGGGTGCGCTCCCGTTGCTCGGTCCCAGCGCCTGCCAACCTAGCAGTTCAAAAGCACCCCCGGCTGCAAGTAGATACCGGTAAATAGGAACCGCTTACTGGCGGGAAGGTAAACGGCGTTTCCGTGTGCTGCGCTGGCTCGCCAGATGCAGCTTTGTCACGCTGGCCACGTGACCTGGAAGTGTCTCCGGACAGTTCTGGCCCCCGGCCTCTTGAGTGAGATGGGCGCACAACCCCAGAGTCTGTCAAGACTGGCCCGTACGGGCAGGGGTACCTTTACCTTTACCTAAAAATGTTTAAAATAGGAAATTCTAATTTCAGAGTGGAACCCCCCCCACTGCATTATTCCAGGTGTGGAAAACCTCTGGCCTTCCAGATGTTGTTGAAGTACAACTTCCACCAGCCCCAGCAAACATGACCAATGGGCAAGGATGATGGGAGCTGTAGTTCTGCAACATTCGGAAGGCCAAAGGTTTCCCTCACTTTCATTTATTCAATATCACCTTAATACCTGAAAATAAATGGCACGACATTGGTGGCAGAGGTGCGTTGGAGTTCATTAGCAAAATTTGACACTGCAGACCTCAGTCTCAACTGAAACTAGGAGTACCTTATTATTATTTTATTAAATTTATATACTGCCCTTCATCCAAGGATCACAGAGTGGTTTACAATATAAAACACAAGAATACATAACATAGTGACAAACAAAAACTTTTGTCACCACAGCAAATTATTGTTACACTTCAGGTGTCTTCATGCTGTGTTTCTGACCTACATACCATCAGTGGCCACTAGTTGGGAGGAATGGATCACATCCAGTCTGACTGGATCCTGTGTTTGGTTTTGTTTCCTATGTTGAGCAGCCGTTTGTTTGAGCACTTCAAATTTAAGCACCAGGAGCTTCAAAGTTTCACATTAACCACCCATGAACTTGCCGTGGTGCTGTAGGGTAGGAGAAAGAGGGGGAGGGCATAAAGTTGGAAGCTTGCCATGGCCTTACAAGCTGGTAGCAAATGCACTAGTTTTGTTAGTAAAAGACTAACAAAGTGTCAGAGTACTTTTGCTGGCTGGTTCATTGCTACAATGGACTAGCATGGCTGCTCCTTTTCATTGCGTAGGCTCAGAGATCCAGGCACAACTTGGGCACCACCACACGTGGCTTTGAAACATATTAATCTTGATTAAACCGGCTAATGATAGGTGTATGTCTAAACCAGGGGTAGGGAACCTCAGGCCCTGGGGATGAATGCAGGCCTCTCTATCTAGCTGCTGGAAGCCAAACGTTTTGGTTTTTGAGTGCTGAAAACTCAGAAGTAATTGCTTCCGTTTTTGAACTTGCCTCAGTAGTTGAACGGCTTCCACGGT